CATCATCACCATGTATTATAAATTGGCTCATTATTAAAATATTGTCCTACCCTTATGCTGCTCTAGATGAAATTATTGGCAACCCTTTTGGTATTCAGTATTACTAGTGGTCGACCGATTATATCGCCTCGGCCGATATCTGGCATTTTTCAAATATCGGCATCGGCCGATAAGTTTTTCTGTTTGGCCGATGTGTTCGAGGTGGGACTGTTATTTTGACGGCACGTCGTACTTTTATTTTGACGTTGCCGAGAACGGCTGCGGCAGCGCCTGAGTGAGCACACACCGCTCACGTTCTCCCTCTTGTTCGCTGTTGTCATTCAGTTCTGTCTAATATGGATAGAAGTCTATCTAATAATCAGATATAACTGTTAAACAAAGGAATTAAAATGTATACAAAAAAGTATTGTAACGATTGCTTTAATATTATTAGTAATAGAAAGGCAAACATTATAATACTTTCTTGTTTGTCGTCAGCATTCCGTAAATACACATTTATATAGTGCATGGGAACAAAATCAAACAAAAAGTTTAATCAAAAATAAGTCTGTACATTTGATGTGCATTTGCCTGATGAAGGTCAGTGAACCGAAACGTTGCGTTTAATAAAGTTTAAGAATTAGCAAGTATTGATAGTGTGCGGGTTCGTTACTTAAATTTCTTAAATACGAATTAAAATAAATAAAATTATATCGGCCATCGGCCACCCTGCTTTCCAATATATCGGTATCGGCTGTCAAAAAACCCATATCGGTCGACCATTAAGTATTACGTTTTTTTTTCCTTTCTTTTTTCTCTGCCATCATTTCTTCCGGCTGTGGTAGATATTGTTTATGGTTTGATAGGAGGCACAGTTCTCATCTGAGTATTGTGAACATACATGTCTATTTTTTTTAATGGATCAAATCTCAGCATCAGAATCTGTTTTTGATGTGTTGAACTCATTCCTGCTTGGCAAAAACTGGCACAAAATGTTTTTTGTTGGAATTGCCCTTCGAGTGCCACATTTCATTGCAGCCATGATATTTTGCAATAAACTGTATTTGTTAGAAGCTATTGCAAGGCGAGGAGGTGTATGTGTTTTGAGTCCAGCAGCACAGAGTTTTACTAACTTGGCATATGCACATAGTGTAATGAATGTTTGTGCATCCCATGTTACTGAGGTGAAAGTGACTGTGGCCCTAGCATTGTAAGGTTTTTTCTTTGTGTCTGTGTCCACCCTCTTTTCTCTGGTGTCTGGCAGCGATGTGGTTTGGTATGTGAGGAGGAATGTGTCCTGTCGTAGGTTAATCCAGTAGAAGGGGGTGGGGTAGGGTGGGCCAGCTGAGGGGTGCAGACTGAGAACTTGGGAGTTGAAGCTCATAGCAGTCCTCCAGACTTCTGTCCTCCAGACTAATCACTTGTTGTGAACCCTGCCCCGCGACTTTTATTAATAAAATAGCTTAGATACTAAATTGCTACGTTATATTAATCAGCAACGAGGGGGTAAAATCACTGTTTAAGTAACTAAACACACGTTTGTAGAGAGACGCGCTGACGCAGGTTCTCACACACACACACACACTTCTCTCTCTCTCTCTCTTTCCCTCTCCCGATCGAATAATTAATTCAAGTAGCTAAATGTTATAATTAATTAATTCAAATAAATGTGATCTTACCGCATTATTTCAACTCTGTCTGATCTGAAGCGGGCAGAATGCTGAGCTAACGAGCCGTTGCTTCACGTCAGTCTTGCCTTCACGTTGTGCATTAAAATAGTTTAAAGCTGTGTATTTGCTCTTTAGCAGCAGTTTTTACAGCAATATTTAAATGTCATTCTTGGTGTACCCAAAATAGCCCCACACTATCGACTTCGGTCATTTCTCTGGTGGAAATAAAGGATCGCTGTTTGGTTCCTCTGTCATAGTTCATCTAGTGTGTGTACTAGCCTCCGTGTCTCTGATAAGCACGGCATTTTAAGTTGGCGCACCGCTAGTGTAACTTTGTTTGTGCAAGTTGCAACCGTTTTGTGCAACAGAAACACTCGGTGTAGCCAAGCCTTTACTTTTAATTAACCGTGCCATTTTAAAGCGCGGTTAATCGCTGCATCCCTAGTTTGGATCAAATTAAATGAACCTGGAAGCATGCGAGGTATGATCTGCTGACCAAGTCTTGTCATATTACAAAGATAACAGGTTATGAGTTATATTTGAATGCTTGTTTGGGAGCTCCATTTGATTTTAATTATTACCACATTCTTACGGCTGTGCCTGAATTATGCTGGAATCTCTGTAATCAGCTGTTCATTATTCAGAGAAGAGTTGCTAAGGCCTTGACAAAGGATGCAATGAAAAGAAGTCAAGAGCCCTCTCTTCACTGATTATATGCTTCCCTTTTCTGCAGCTGTGCTGATAGGAGAGGCCATTCTTCAGAATCCTTGGCTACCATATCTGCATCTCTGTATCCGAGACAGATAGTGTCATGAATGTTCACAGAGTTTGATGTACGCCACACAAAAGGAAGCGCCTCCACCCTGGAACTACTTCCAGTTCTTGTAACCTGAGCCCTGAACCTTTTATTTAAAACATTTGTTTTTGAACGTGGCATGTTTCATAGCTCTGCTTATGACGAGATCAGTCCAACATTCTGTTCCTGTTGATTCATGCATGAGGACACATTGAGTTTTTGAGTCCTTGTGTTTTCTGCTGTCTAGATTAAAACAAAAGATGTTCTATCAATTGTTACACATTTCCTTTTATGCCATTATCATTCTTTCCCATATTCTGTTACACGTTTGGCCTCTTATATAAGGGCGGGTTCTCGATTGTTAGACTTTTAGTGAGCAAACCATGTCCAGGTGGAGGAAACCCCATACTGAGGATGTGCTCAGCTGTAGATCCTCTTCATCCCAGACAGCCCTGACCTCCGTTGCCAGAACAGGAAAGCAGTCAGCACTATTTTATCTTCAGGCATCCTCTGTTCCCATAGGTGGACTTAGTCAGATACCCCTGCGTCTCATTAGAGGACTGCAGAACAGAGACCTTTCCATGCCTAAAAAGAATGAGCTAAATTGGTTTTGGCATTTTAAACGACCTCACTATTTTTTAGGAGTTTGATGAATCTCCACAAGTCCTCTGAGGATGCTAAATTATGCATAAAACAATCATAATTCTGACTGCTTTAGTGGGGCAGTGATCAGTCTAGAAGCAGCACTTCAAAGACACAGTTGGGATTTTATTTTAATATAAAGGTCTTGGATCGATTTCCTGCAGTCTCTTCACACCGAGAGACATGCAACAAAGCTAATAAAGCTCCCAATACAATGTGAAATAAAAGAGCAACTTTATTTCCTTTGGTCATTGAATTTGCGCTGTGTGAATATGCCTTTTCACACGGTAGGTACAAGAAGAAATAATCATAAATCTTGATCTAAAGTAGATCAAGTGTGTAGTACAAGCAGTGCTGAATGAGTTACATGCCAAAATGTCAAGCTTAGTAAAAGAAAAAGTCTGTACAAACATTTTAAAGTAATGACTTTTCATATAAATTTTTCCTGAAAAGAAAATGTCTATGGCCACCATTTTTGGGTTGGGCTGGCCAGGTTTATCTTATCTAGTGCTTCTTGGTTCCACCAGACACACAAATGCCTAGCGTTTCAAGGATGGCCTGTACTCAGAAGCGGTCTGATACGGCAAGAGAAACCGTTTAACAGTGACATGAAGTTATTTATCTACATCATTAGCAACATTCTGCAGCTGCAGATTCGGGAACTGAGACACCACCCAAATGATCGCTTGGAAGAGCTCCCAGGGTGGGTGTGTGTTCGTTCACCCCTGATATACAGAAAATGTATTCAAGTGAATCACAACAATCTGGAAGAAGATGCAGAGAGTTATGCTGTAATACAAATGATTACACACTCCAGTGTGACGCACAAAAACATTAGGAGTACTGTGTATGTGGTTTTGTAACTGCTGTACAATGCGGAGGAAGACATTTACTTTGAGCTTATTGAATCAGATGTCCTGCATGAGGAGGAGGCTGCAGGACATTAAGTAGTACATTTGAATCTGCTAATCTCCAGAATTGGGCATAGTCTCTTAATACTCAAACCCAATTACCTACAGTCCGTATGCATCACAGTTTGATTAAAGTGAGCTGATGTTACAGAGATCAGTGCACTTAAAGCATGTCAGAGGCTTTCTCATGCATAGGATAATGTTCATGCAAGTATCTCTGGCATATACCCGAGTTGACAATTATCTGTTTGTGCCTGGGAAATGAAATGCATAAGTAGGGCAGAATTTTGGTCGCACTGAAGCTAAAACATCAGTATCAGTAAAACGGCAATCCATATCATGTAAGAAAAATTATATGTGCTGTTAAAAGCCTTTTTTTAAGCCCATCCTCAAATAAGCAGTCACATGACATCCCCTATCTTCCTCTTGCCGAGGTTTAGTATCGCTATAAAATAGTTTTGCTTGCTTTTGAATTTTCCTATAAAACCTTTACTTTTGAAGTTGCGAAAAGATTCAGTTTTGTGGAAGACCAAAGTGTTTACGAAGTGAGATTTGCAGATAAGTGAGAAACCTACTTTGAATATAGACGAGATGTGACATAACCAGTTTTACAGATGTTTTTTGGCTTGCATTGTAGGCCAACACCGCATTTTCAGTTGGCACTCATTTCCATTTGAACTGAGCCGTCTTCCTTTTATGAGGTGTATTCTTTCACTAAAACTTTCCGTCTGTTGAAAAGACAGAATAGTCATAATATGCAGTGTTGAGTATATACAAATATGACAGCAGATTGTAGTTATAATAATTGGGCAGAAATAAACCATACGATTTCATCAGAGTACATGTGTCTTCTGTATCTGATAAATCACTTTGTGGTGAAATGTTTGTCTTTTGCTGTTTTAGGTACTTTTAAATGTCAGAGTGGACTGATTTGAATTAAAGGCTCAGGTGAAGTGAACTGAAAATGCTGACCCATTTTTCTTCTCGTCTTCTCTTTTGCAGATCGTGAGGACCAATCAATTCTTTGCACGTGAGTAACCATTAGATCATCTCTATTCAGCAGTTACAGGTTACGTCATTCAGTCGGAGCTGATGGAAGTGATGTCACGTTCCCAGTGCTGCACAGGAATTGGCTTTTTTGGAATCATACATGTACAGCCATGCCTGAAAACATGAGTCATGTATCATTGCAGGTATTAAATATCAGTAGCTGTAGCTGTTTGGCATGTAGAGCATCTCACAGTGTGAGTCAGACCCACGGCAAATATTTCTAGTCGGCCTATAAGAATTCATCCATAGAAATTCAAGCTTTTTATGCATTAAGCCTGAATTACTGTCTTTGCACATTGTAAATAAGTAAACAGTCTCTCTCATATATTAGTGGCACTGTAATAGGTTATGAGAGTTGGTTTTAACATCCTCTCTCAAAGTCGACCCCTTCTGACCTACTGATACCACTGCAGCACATGCCATTCTGCACACCCACTGTGAAGTCATGATGTCCATGAAACCTTATGTCCATGTAGCTAAAATGCAGGGTTAAGGAATCTCACACTCAAAAGCTTGAACACAAGCAAAAAGCAGACACATTCAAGAGCTTTTAAAAGACTGATTTACCCAGAATTCTATTGTGAAACTCAAGACTTAAATTCTGTCCAAGCTAGTCTTTTCTATAGAATATAAATGAAGACAATTCATGGCTTCAGAAAACTGTGAATATAGTTAATATAATATGAATCCAGACTTAAAGCCCATTGAAAATCTGTGGAATGACTTGAGGACTGCAGTCCACAAATGGTCACCATCAATTGAACTGAACTTGTGCAGTTCTGCAAAGAAGAGAGGGCACATATTGCAAAGTCTAGATGTGCAAAGTTAGTAGAGACAAATCCCAACAGACTAGAGGCTGTAATTAAAGCAAAAGGTGGTTCAACAAAATACTGACACAAGGGGGTGATCCTTTTTTTTCCTGACATGTTGGTGTTAAATCTTTCACTTGGATGTTATAAGTTGCACTGAGTAAATACAGTTGGATAAAACAAAAAAAGTGTCTTAATTTCAGGCTGCAAAGCAACAAAATGTGATTATTTTAGATGGGAGTGATTCTTTTCTATACCCTGTGTGTGTGTGTGTGTGTGTGTGTGTGTGTATATATATATATATACTGTATATATAGTTTGTGTGGTGTACTATTTGCATGAGATTTTGCTGTTATATTTCATTGATTGAAGCAGTAAGTGAATGACTTGACAGGCCTTTGTGTAAAAGTTTTGGGTGTGTCTTTCTAAAGACTTTTCCATTTATGGGCAGATTAGGGAGAATAATTTTTTTTTTTATCAGACCTGTGATGAACAGTATTTCTTGCATCCATATCATTGTGTTATAAAGTCATTAAAACATATTTTGCATGTCAGTAATATTATGTAAGACTTTTAATGGTCACTTAATAAAGCCCATTGTGTAATACACCAGCACTATAGACCAAATTCTCCTCACCCAGGGTCCTAGCTGCTGAAAGGAACTGCAGCCTGATGCTTAATTTAGTTTGTGGAATGCAAATGTGCATACATATCTAACCAATCTGTTGTTTCATTTTATTTGGATATTTTATTATTGTTAATTTTTTTATGTTTGCTTTTGATTGGAATTTTCTCTTGCAGAGGGGAATCGGGTGCTGGAAAGACAGAAAACACCAAAAAAGTCATCCAGTACCTGGCTCACGTTGCATCCTCTCACAAAGGAAAGAAAGACCACAACATTCCAGTGAGTTCATTTCTCTCAGCCTTTCACTGAATCATTACTTTTGACCTTCTTGTTAAATTCCACCAATGATATAGGTGAGGAAGGATATGTGGGTATATTTTGGGAAACTGTCACACCTCAGTAGGTGGCAGTACTGAGCAGGATAGGGTGATGAGACTTGCAGGTTAAAAACTAGTTAATTAGATGAATATGCAACATAACTAGGCCTACATATTTTCAATTCATTATTCGGGTTTTAAGAAACCCTATAAAATTAAACTTTCTGACTCTGATCAGGTGTTTCTTTAGGTGGTGTTTACATAAGATAACAGAATAGAAAAAAATTGAGAAGTCCTGAGTAACACTTAAAAAAAGAGTAGGATGCGATACAGTTTGCAAAGACACCGGTCTTGTCATCCATTGCTATAGCAGGGGTGCTTTTAGGCATCTTGACTTTCTTCAAGAGTGTTTTACAAATAGCTTGTTAGACAAATAGTCAGAGTTGTTCAAACTATTCTGTACTGCATTTACAGTTGAAGCTCTTTAACTTGTAATGTCTTACAAGTAATCTATTTTATTTTAGACGTGTTAGTTACAATGACATCAGGGTGCTTTTACTGGAAGACTAATTTTAACCAAATTAACATACAGTGGGGCAAAAAAGTATTTAGTCAGCCACCAATTGTGCAAGTTCTCCCACTTAAAACGATGAGCGAGGCCTGTAATTTTCATCATAGGTATACCTCAACTATGAGAGACAAAATGAGAAAAAAAAAATCCAGAAAATCACATTGTAGGATTTTTAAAGAATTAATTGGTAAATTCCTCGGTAAAATAAGTATTTGGTCACCTACAAACAAGCAAGATTTCTGGCTCTCACAGACCTGTAACTTCTTCTTTAAGAGGCTCCTCTGTCCTCCACTCGTTACCTGTATTAATGGCATCTGTTTGAACTCGTTATCAGTATAAAAGACACCTGTCCACAACCTCAAACAGTCACACTCCAAACTCCACCATGGCCAAGACCAAAGAGCTGTCAAAGGACACCAGAAACAACAGTGGGGCTTTGGGCGTCTGTCGTTTCTAATTTGAGGACTTTCCTCTCCAACCCCCCAATGCCTGTATTTCAGGCAGTCAGTGAGAATTTGCACCAAAAGCCTCTCATGGCTTCCCAGGGTTTAATTAGGTTTGTAGGGTAGTGTATTTTTACTCCATCCAGATGATCTGCTTCTGGTTTGAGGGTCAAATGAAGAGAAATGGCTTTGCTATGGAAGCAAGCTGATCGTTGTTAGCCACACCATCTCAACAAAATACTGTGAAGAATGCTGTAAATAAATGGTATTTGTGATCAAGATGATATGGAACATTTAAAGGGATAGTTCACCCACAAATGAAAATTCTGTCATTAATTACTCACCCTCATGTCGTTCCAAACCCGTAAGACCTTCGTTCTTCTTCGAAACACAAATTAAGATATTTTTGATGAATTCCGCAAGCTTTCTGATCCTCTATAGACAGCAACGCAACTACCACGTTTAAGGGCCAGAAAGGTAGTAAGGACATTGTTAAAATAGTCCATGTGACATCAGTGGTTCAATCTTAATTTTATGAAGCTATGAGAATACTTTTTGTGCACAAAGAAAACAAAAATAACTTTATTCAACAATTTCTTCCCTTCCGTGTCAGTCTTCGATGCGTGTTCACAACAGTACCATGGCGCATTCGTGTGCATTCCTCTGCTTGTAAACAAGGCGCAGCACATGTGTGTTCTATGTCGGAACGCCGGCTCCTGCATCAGCAGCACCACACGCATGCGTTGTGGTACTCTCATGAACACGCATCGAAGACTGACACGGAAGAGAAAAAAATCTTTGAATAAAGTCGTTATTTTTGTTTTCTTTGCACACACAAATTATTCTGGTAGCTTCATAAAATTAAGCTTGAACCACTGATGTCACATGGACCATTTTAATGATGTCCTTACTATGGGCCTTGAACGTGGTAGTTGTGTTGCTGTCAGAAAGATCTCGGATTTCATCAAAAATATCGCAATTTGAAGATGAACAAAGTCTTAACAGGTTTGGAACGACAAACAGAATTTTCAGTTTTGGGTGAACTATCTCTTTAAGTTTGGAGTTAGTCATCCCACTCCAACACTTATGTGAGTTAAAAAGGCGATGTTAAAAAAGACCTTACTAATGATTAGGGCTGGGTTTTGACACAAATTTCACGATTTGATTCTCATTCACAAGCTTTCGAGTCGATTCGATTACCGATTCGATTCAATATCGTTTAATTTGGATATATATCAGGTACAGTACATGCCAAATTTTTTTCAAGGAAAAAAAAATCTCTCAACTAATGCTGTAAAATATACATGAGTCAGTTGGTACTACATTACTATAATACTGAAGGTTAAAATGGACTGATTTGTTAAAATTACACTTAATGAAGTTTAAAAAAAAATAAAGTTACAATTACATAATAATATTTCTACTTCAATTTGTTTTATTTTTTATGTAAACGGTGACTGTCATAAAAACTTGATGGATTTATTCAAACATAAATTAAACATTGAAGAACAGTCAAATTTATAATGAATGTTATATATGGTGCATATATTTAGCAAAATGCCCCTCTCTACAGTTTATTTTTCTATCTGACTAATGAGTTTATGGTCACTGAATATGTTTTTCTGAGGTAAATGTGACATTATGTGGAATTGTTTACAAGACGTTATCGGCCTATTGACGTCGTTGTGCGGCTGAAACACTGATTGAGTGATTACATGAGACCGAATTAGTCAGAATTAGTTTAGTCATGTTTATTGTTTGTGCTGAAACTGGTATTAATGTGGAGGAGATGATCAGTTCACGTGCATCTTGCGCTTCCGCGTCTGTTGAACTGAGGCGCTACAGTGATCACTCCACATTAAACCGCGCCAAAATGGCATTTATTGTTTGAATACTGCAATACAATGGACAGAATTTGAAATCTGAGACGGTTTCATTTTAAAAGTACCAAAGCACAATGCTTTTTGCGATTTATTGAATGGGAAGTGCCCTTCAGTGTTCCGTCCTTTAACTGAAAACAGGCTAGACTAATCGATTCTTGGGATTTGAGAATCGATATCGTTCCGAAAAAATGAGAATCGATTAATATCGAGATCGATATTTTTTACCCAGCCCTACTAATGATACAAGGTGATCTGCAGGATGCTGTTATAAGGTAATATATGCTCAAAGGTTTGTAAAATACAAAAATGTTTGTCTTTGCTTTCGTTCTGTTTTATTGCTGTTAAGTGGAAAATTTTCACTGGGTTTCTTTTCAAGATTTCACAAACATTATTTTATGGCTTTTTAGTTATACACACTACCTTTGAACTTTTTAAAGTTAATTTTTTTTATCTGTTCTTTTATGAAACTTCATTTAATTATATATTTTAATAATTGGTATTTCTAATCAGTGACTTTTGCATTACAGGGAGAGTTAGAGCGTCAACTCCTGCAGGCAAACCCTATTTTGGAATCCTTTGGGAATGCCAAGACAGTGAAAAATGACAACTCTTCACGCTTTGTAAGTCTAATCTGATACTTCCGCCTTTGTGTTTTTATACTGTAACATTATTCTAAAGGGTCTTCGTGATGAGAGGGGCAGTGGAGTAAATGCTAATGCGTGACATCTGTGCCACTCACCGGTCTCGAGTCCCACGGAGGAGCTCCAGAAGGATAAAAGGAGGAGTGACGACAGTGTTGGACGAGAGAGGACCAGGCCTGGACTTTTTGTGTTTTGGTTCTGTTTGTGCGTGACAGTCGTCCGCGAGGGGCTTTCGTGCTATTTTGTGTTTATTATATTATTAAAGTTTAGCTTGAATGTTCGCCGGTTCCCGCCTCCTTCCCGAACTACGAACTTTGTTACATTGGTGCCGAAACCTGGGAGGAAGGAGGGACACACTGCCAGAGATCCTTTGCCACTGTGGTGATTCCGCGGTGTCATCGAGCATGGCGGAGCAGTCTGCTGCATGGACGCTCGAGGCGGTGGGCTGGAGTCAGTTGCCGGGTCGGGCCGTCCGCCGAGGGGTATCCAGTGCTGCCGCCAGCATCGCGGAAGAGTTTACCCAGCTGGTGGAGGGCCGAGCGGCAGTGTGTCTGGGAACCGGAACAAGATCTCCCCTCTCTTGTCTCTCTTACATTATCCCAAATGTTTCGAAGAATGTTTAAATCCAGAGAAATGAGCAATTTTAACTAGTGACACGGACCGTGTCCATAGTGTCATTGAAACACCATGGGGAATCACGATGCTGGCTCAACATCGTGATGTCTGTCATCATCTATCGGCCCAACCCTACTTTTAAGCATACAAATAAATCAACAGCCACATAGGAATTTGTTTGTTTCTTCCTTTAGGTAATTATTTTGACGGCATTTGCTGCAAATAAGTGTGTTTGTTAGCCTTTTACGCATGCTTTAAGTTCTGTTAAAATTATAAAAGAGACAACCATCTGTTCAAATGGATTCTTAAAAATGTTGATTGGGCCTATATCTAAAGATAGTTAAGATGCAATGGCATGGTTTATAAAGCATGACCAGTATAAGCACATCATAGAAAAAAATACACATCTAAATTATGTGTTTTTCCACAGGGCAAGTTCATCCGCATCAACTTTGATGTAACCGGTTACATTGTGGGGGCCAACATCGAAACCTGTATCCTGATCTGATAATCATTTCATTACATTTAAGCAATGCCGCAAACAGCTGTAAGATCAAATGAAATGGGTGAATTTCTGTGTGTCTTTATTTTTCAGCAGAAGTAAATGTATGCAAATTGACCTTTTATGGACTTTTAGAATAGTGAAACTGCTTTAAACGGTTTCTATCGCTGCAGTTAGAAACACAGTTATTTATTGTATAATTAGTATGCCACAGAGAGACCACATCATAAGCTGGTTTTGATGTAAGTTTCAGAATTTTTAAATGTATTTTACAAATAAAAATCAAACAAATTATAATGTTTATAAATTAGTTTTATGATGTTTAAATGTCACATTTAAGTGCCACAAAAAGCTGTACAGCTGTGATTTGATGTAAACTGAAAAATGATCTGTAAAATGGACTTGCTCTTAACTCCGTTACAAGATCTTCTTGAAAAGTCCAGGGCCATTCGCCAAGCCAAAGATGAACGCACCTTCCATGTCTTCTACCAGCTGTTGGCTGGTGCTGGAGAACATCTAAGATGTGAGTATTTCTATTTACATGCTTATAAGCTTGAGTTTTTAGCAATGAGATTGGGAGCTGCACAATAGCTATGTTTCCATCACCCAGTTTTTATTCGCATTTTGAAGTATCGCATCAGAAACATCACATTTTGAAAAAAAAAACAAAAAAAAGCCCTTAATTCACAAAGTTTTTACACTCGCTTGAGGTGGTTTTTGACTTGTGCAAAAAAGAGTTAATGCGAATAGAGAGAGAAACGCATTTTCTGAATAAATTCCTCCATGCACATCAAAAAAGTAATGTGACTTTGCACTATGGGACAGCATAAACTGACTAACCAGCGGACCGATCTTGTTGCACATCATTTGAAATATTGTTATGGTCATTCTTAAATGCCCGAGCAAAGTCTGTAGTCAAAGTATTTCTGTATAATTGCCTCCCAGAACTGTCTTACACGACTGCGTTCCCAAACGGCAGCATCCACCTCCGAAAGCAATGACCGCATTTATTGTTTCGTCTGCTCACTCTGATGTGCAAGTAATTTATTATATATGAGGAAATAATGCATTATTTATCGGCTTTAAGATATCGGCCAAATTTTCTTATCAGGCCGATACCGATAACAGAAAAAATGAGCCGATATGGGCCGATACCGATATGGTGGCCGATATATCGTGCATCCCTAATTATTATATTTAGTGGCTTCTCCTACTTATCTTAGTGATATTTAGTGCCAGTTTATCAGGAAGTGACGATTTAGATCTCTCTGATTTGTTGATGGAAACTGTGTTTTTTTCGCAAATGTCTTATGTGATATTCCAGTTTTACACAAGTTAAATTCACAGCTTTGGATGGAAACCCAGCTAATGTGTGAAGGCATCAGACTGATTATGGAGAATATGGTGCAGTCTGGTGTCTAGAGAAGATTGCAGCTGTGTTACTAATACTCTTGTTGTTCTGGCAGCTGATCTACTCCTGGAGGGCTTCAATAACTACCGCTTCCTCTCCAACGGTAACATTCCCATTCCTGGCCAACAGGACAAGGACAATTTCCAAGAGACCATGGAAGCCATGCATATTATGAGCTTCTCCCATGATGAAATCTTATGTAAGCGTTCATGAAACAAACATGCCTCTACTACATTGTATATTTACTGCTGTTTTATGCCTGCATACTAATAAATCATCATAAAAACTCATTGCACACCTTTTTGCCTTCACTGTGGCATTCGAAATGGTCAGTGAATTTACAGAACAAGAGTCTCTTGTAGTCTCTCCATTAATGAGTTGATAACTTTGACAACCCTATTATTATTTTAATGCATGCAGTTAACATTTGGTTTAGTTAAATTTGTTTAAACTCTGACAATTTAGTACACAACTTAACTGTTTCATTCTGTTATTTGATAGTTGAACTTGAGAGTTGATGTGAATGCCATAATTGCTTACACATACATGAATTTTTTTTAAATTAAAAAAAAAAAAAATTTTTATACAGATTATTTATATATAAATTAAACCCAGATGGGATGTTTAATGAAAGTCATCTCCATTATCTTGGTAAAATGTAATTGTTATTGAAACTCAGTAAGTCATATCACCCATGAGTGAACACTGTTATTCATCAAAATGTTGCAAAAACCAGGAGAGCTTGAAGAATTTTATGTATGATTAAGACCATAAAGGATGGTTATTATTTTATTTCTAGTTTAGTTATTTTATTATTGAATTAAATTACATACCATTTACTGTTTAATTTAATGCCATTCAGAAATGTTTGTTTTGAGGGAATAAAACTCCTCTTCATAAATCTACTTGTCCAGTTTCATCATGTAGACCTCATTCTTATATCTGAATATCTGAACCCTTCAAATGAAACAGAAAGTGATAAATATGGGAAAAAAAGGAATAATCTTAAATTCATGTTGTAATCATTTGACATCCTTAGTAAGTATACAAGGATCAACAAAATGCTGGTTTTATATTGAATATAAGCCACACTGCAGGACCAAAAAATATTTCATGTCAACTACCCACATACTGTTGACTGTCTTGTCCCCTTTTTGTTTTTTTGCTTTTTCACTGCAGCAATGCTCAAGGTGGTATCAGCAGTCCTGCAGTTTGGCAACATCGTGTTCAAGAAGGAGAGAAACACCGACCAGGCCTCTATGCCAGAAAACACAGGTACACATCTGTGTTTTAAAGGTTTCAAAAATGCATAATGCCTTATTTTAGCACAGAGATAATGTTTCTTTTTTTCAGTAATGGAAATCTAATGTATTATGTGACGTACATAAATAACTACGTAAATCCTTTGGCAGTGCATTAGCATGAAAGAGTGTTCAGTATCCAGACTACCCTCCAATCTAACCCCTGCGCCAGATGTTTTTGTGCAGTTCTCCACTGCTCCGTTTTGACAAATTACCCGTTGGACTTCTCTTGGGCTCCCATGATGACAGTTTGAATGGTTTTTAGATATGTTTCATATTAAAAGAATATAACAGAATAGTTGTGCTAAGTTGCGTTAAATCAAATGTGTTTACGTAAGAGCCCCAAAAGTGACCGTTTTACCGCCATGATGCATTCCAGCAAGCTTACTCCACTGGCATTTTGATTAATTAGTTTTTATCATCACCATTCATGGTACAGTATTGAAACTTTCATCTGTTTAAGTCACTCACGACTTAAAGAAGCTGTAAAGTTAGTTGCGATGGTGGTCCTAAAGGGGAACTCTTGGGGTTTGTTTGGCTACTAAACGGGATGTAAGGGTTTTGAAGTCAGTAAATTGCAATAACGACCCGACTTATTTGAAATACCTTATACTCGTGAGCAAAAATGTCCCATAATAACTTCTCTCACCACCATTTATGCGCATTGGGGAAGCTTCTAAAATCCTATAAATCGAAAAAGAATGTCACCATTTTTGGTCAGCTTGCATTAGAGGACCATTTTGTGAGTGTTTTTTTTTTCTTTCTGTTTCTCAGCTGCTCAAAAGCTTTGCCACCTGCTTGGAATAAATGTCATGGAGTTCACACGTGCCATCCTGTCTCCAAGAATCAAAGTGGGCAGAGACTATGTACAAAAGGCCCAAACTAAAGAACAGGTAATGAGCCTTTCAGTTCTCCACTGTATATCTGTCAGATCACCCACCCTCTCAGCTATAAAGCTTTTCATTAGTGTTTTACCTCTTGGATCCTGTCAGACCTGATCGTAGACCATTGCTGTCCTTTTGTTCTCGTCACATTTCCTTTTCACCTCTGTGTCCATTTACAACAATAGGCTGCTAGTCTCCTGTCATTAAAATGTCATCATAACTGTTCAGATTCTGCAGATGGAGGAGTGTTTGGGAAATCTGTTCGGAAAATAAGTGCTATTGAATTTTAAAAAAAAACTTCCTCTAGAGGGTCCTTTCAGATTTTGTATTCCATTTTTAGAGTTGGTATCATTTTAATTTTAGCTATTCTGATTCTGCTTATCTATTCCAATTAGGTTAAAAAAAATAAAAAATTAAATTTTGTGTCCTATTGAATTCACGATTTCTTGGAAATTTGGAACTGGTTCTAAAATGGAACAGGTTCTTGATACCCAAACCTACTTTTGTATCTGTGTAATAATAGTGTGATCATATATTATATTGCATATTTTTTCCAAAAGTGAAGTTTGTGTCATCTTTCTCCCTTTGTCTGATCCTGTCTCTCTGTTCCTCTGACCAGGCCGACTTTGCAGTGGAAGCACTGGCCAAGGCCACATACGAAAGGTTGTTCCGCTGGCTTGTTCACCGCATTAATAAAGCTCTGGACAGGACCAAGCGCCAAGGAGCTTCCTTCATTGGCATCCTGGACATTGCTGGCTTTGAGATATTCCAGGTGCGGCTTCCTCGGATTTAGTGCTCAGCTGTCTCTTATGTTAAATCATAGATATGAATCACTATACGGCAACGAATCAAAGGTCATATGATGCTAGGGTTTTTTTTTTTTTAAACGCAGGCAATGCAAGAAAATGAAAATGCTGTAGGTGTTGTTTATCAAAGGATGTTGTTTGGGACAAGTTTTTATTTGTGTATAGTTTAACATAGATTTTAAGCATATCACATATCACTGAAAAAAAAAAAACAATCGTACAAAACAGCAGGGTTTCTATTGAGGGAATAAAAAAAACTTTTTATACTTTTAATAACTGGGTGTTAAATTGTGTAAGTTTCATGAGATGCTTTTGTGATTACTGAAATGTAATTATACCATTAAAATAGAATGGAGAAAAATTTAAATGGGGGAAAAAAAGAACAGAATTTTGGGGGGTTTAAAAATCATGGGGCCCCAATCATTGTGCCTTTTAAGAAGGTTTCTTCCTTCAGGTTGTGCTGGAGGATGTCCTTGCTATCTTGGTGCTGGACATTGCTTTGGAAAAGATGCATCTGCTAAATTGAGTTATATAATTATGGTATAGTCCAGATGAAATTACAAGGTTTACAGTAAATAGTGTAATTGGATACCCATTCATAGCTGCAGTATTTAGTTAAGTGATATTGATATCGAAGATACTGATATTGGTTAAAGAATCAATTATGCATGTTCTGGGACTAAATATGTTATAGACAAAACCAGTTTGATCATATTTTATTGCTCTCTCCATCTCTTGGCAGCTGAACTCATTTGAGCAGCTCTGCATCAATTACACCAACGAGAAGCTTCAGCAGCTGTTCAACCACACCATGTTTTACAGGTTGACTATAAGGCAGATGAGTGGTTGATGAAAAACATGGACCCTCTAAATGACAACGTGGCCACACTCCTGCACCAGTCCACGGATAAGTTTGCGGGGATGGTAAGCTGTTTTCTTCTCGAGTGCCTTCCAGATTCCCTGACACATGAAACGTTAAACGGCTCATTTTTATGATTCTACCCTCCCGTTCTGTGAAGAAAGAGACTGTTGTTTTCAGTCTTCAGTTTCAAGTCTTGTCTGTCTTGTAAAAAGAGCTTGTCATGCATTTCGGTGGCTCGATGCAAATATTTTATACTGTTGATATCACAATAGATATTTGTACTGTAGTTATTATAAGCAGGGCTGCTTTACATTATTTACAGATTAAAGCAGTGAGGAAATATGAAGTAATGCAAAAATACAGTGGGACGTGTCATATATTTTATTATTTATGTCTGACAGAACTTTTCACTGCATTTCCAGCAAAACTGTATACATTAACATAATACACATTTTATGTAAAATATAATATTGTGGCAAAATAATTTCTTTAGAATTATATACAAAATAAAATGTATGTGCTAAGATCGATCAGCAGGATCTTAAAACATTAAAGGGGTCATATGATGCTGCTAAAAAGAACATTATTTTGTGTATTTGGTGTAATGAAATGTGTTTATGCAGTTTAAAGTAAAAAAAAAACACATTAGTTTCCACATACTGTACATTATTGTTTCTCCTCTATGCCCCGCCTTTATGAAACGCGTCGATTTTTACAAAGCTCATCGGTCTTAAAAAGCGAGGTGTGCTCTGATTGGCCAGCTATCCAATGCGTTGTGATTGGCCGAATACCTCAAGCGTGAGACGGAAATGTTACGCCCCTCACATACTGTTGATGCCGTGTCATGCCTAGAGGTAAAACATATTACAAACGAGGCATTTGTTGCATCTAGTGGGGACCTAATTACTGATTATAATGACTTATTCTGTCTTTTTACGCGTTGCGTTGCATTGCATCGCGCCACGTAAACATAAAATCCTGTCTGCATTTGTGATCAGAGAAATGACAAACAACAAGTGCTACTCTACTGCCCAAAACTCGCTTTTGAATCATCAGTGGCAAATCTTTTAAATGAAAACGTACTTATGTGAGTCAGTTACGAACGTTACTCTCTCAGGATCAGTAAACAGTCCTCCATAAAATGCGCTGCACACATCTGGATATTTGGGTTAAACTGTTCTGGAACAGTGTTGTAAATACCACTGATCGGGCTGGATTCCGCTTTGTCCACGGTGAAAGTTGATGTATTCCCTCAGCGACCAGCGCAGATCAGCTCTAGGCATGACAAAGCGGATATCCTCTTTTGGAAGTCCAAACAAAGTAGTTTCGCTTTCACAACGAAGCACACAGCGTCTTCATGACATGGCTGCAGCATCAACAAAACTACAGTGAGACTAAAAGTTACGCCGCCTTTCTTTGCGTGAACATTTGGGCGGCGTTATGCAAATCTTCCCACATAGTGAGGTAGATATGTGGGGGCGTGTTAGAACGAGCCGTTTTAGGTAGGTGTGGCTGACTCTTAACTTTTATAAAGAATATCTCTTTGGATTTGAGACTTTAGTCTTTGTAACTTTACAGATCTTCTTTATGCACCAAGAGCTTGTAACACTCCAAAGAGAAAGGAAAAATTTTAATCGCATCATATGACCCCTTTAAATTAAAAGTACACATATCCAAAAACAGAAACTAGAGCAAATCGAATGAAGACTTTTGCTTATTCTCACCTGTGTTGCACAGCACTAACCAGTGTGTTTACTACCATTTATGTCTTTTATGTGCTAGCTGTGTTCTACTACTGCTTTTTTTTTATTTTGCTTATTTTCTTGTTTATCTCCCCTTTGCCCCCTTTCTCTGTCTCTCGACTATAGAGATTCAGAATATCCAAAGAGCGTCTTTTTATGATGTCTCTAGTCTCCATGAATCGCCAGGTGAAGGTATACGATGCTGTAGGTCTCTGCTTACCAGCGCATTGTGTACTTTCAAACACTCCCATGGCTTGTAGACCTGGGCCCTGGTCCCTCTAGCTGGCTAACTTTAGAGTTAGCTGGATCCACTTGAAAGGGAGCTTGACTTGGCTGATTCATTAGGATGCCCAAACTGACCATGAATGAAGATTGCATGAAAAATTAATGCATGTGCCTAGTGACTTAATACAGAGTACTGACACTGCATAACAGACATTTGAATGTAACTCTGGGTAGCTCTCTAGGTGCACTAGCTACAAGGATTAGGGCCCTGCTTGTTCTTTGAGTGCCTTTCAGCAATTTTGTTAACTTCACACCCCTAAATATTCTGGCTGTTATATCATAGTTTAAAAACTATAAGTGTCAAATCATTATTAAATCTACACCTATAGCATTTTCAGTCCAGCCAGTGTTGAAAAATGCCATAGGTGATTGTCAAGAACATGTCTGTGTCATATTTCACCACAAAATCAAATTATATGATAATCGGGACTTGAACTCGAGTCGCTGCTTGCCAACAAGGCTGTCTTAAAGTAATTAATAATTTTTATATGTTTTAAATAGTTATCTGCAAGCAAATTTTATAATAATATTTTCATTACAGTAAAGTCTGGACGCATTATGATAATGACAATTTTGGGTGAAAATTTGCTTAATTGTCCTGTAATGGACTTGATGCAAAATTTTTATTTCCTTTTTTAATTTTTTGATTTCACAGTGAAATATAACCTGACCTGGTTATCATGAGATTCCCTCAAACACAGCTTAGTTTTTCAGCAGACAGAGCGGTTTGTGTGGTACGACATCTTGTTTGTTTTAAGTGTCAGATGGTGATTTGATAGGCCGTGTGAGGGAGATGGAGTTTGGGTGAGGGGTGGAAGAATTCTGTGGTGTTTCTCTGACAGGGAACATGGAACAATACATGTCTTGTTTCACTGGAATCCAAATGACTCGCTCAGGCCTGTGCCAGTCAACACTGACAGCTCAGTAAATTCTCCATGTAGGTAACGGAAGTCACGTCAGGAGCCCCATTATGAACAGAACATTGCTTGGAAGCGGTTCTTAAGAATGACATTTACAGGAATGCTGCGAGACCTAGAATTGTAAATCTAGCACCAGTAGTTAGACTTTACCAGCCCCCGATTAATCAAAATTAATATGTGAAGAGTTCAATGCAAAAGCCTCTAAGTGCTGTCTGAAATGTTCTTCTAAAATTAGCATTTTTATCAGGCTCCTATGTTTAGGCTCAGTAATTTTACTTTAATGGCAATGTATAGGTCCTTTTCTATGCCATTAAAGTTAAATAAATGAAAATAAATATAGGATCCTGATAAAAATGCTTATTTTAGATGAAAATTTCAAACGGCTCTTAGTGGTTTTTGTATCTTAACTCTTCATGTAGTTTCTGATTACTTGTGTGTTGAGTGATTGAAGTTTGACTTGTTTTGTGTTATGGCATTGTTATTGGACCCAAATTTGTGAAAGTAATTTTTTTGATTGGTATCTTATTTATTGCTTAGCAGATTTATTCACATTGATTTAATCAGTTGCTGAAAGGAGACATTTTAGTAACATTGCTTAGAGAGAGAGAACATAATATACAGTGGGTACGGAAAGTATTCAGACCCCCTTAAATTTTTCACTCTTTGTTATATTGCAGCCATTTGCTAAAATCATTTAAGTTCATTTTTTTTCCTCATTAATGTACACACAGCACCCCATATTGACAGAAAAACACAGAATTGTTGACATTTTTGCAGATTTATTAAAAAAGAAAAACTGAAATATCACATGGTCCTAAGTATTCAGACCCTTTGCTCAGTATTTAGTAGAAGCACCCTTTTGATCGAATACAGCCATGAGTCTTTTTGGGAAAGACCCAACAAAATTCTGTGTTTTTCTGTCAATATGGTGTGCTGTGTGTACATTAATGAGGGAAAAAAATTAACTTAAATGATTTTAGCAAATTACCCTAATGAATTCATATGTTTTATTTTTAATATTCTTGTTGTTGATTCTGGTTAGAATCTCATTTTTGTTGTCGAGTAAAAATAGCTGCAAAAGCATACTACAACAAATATTTATACAATGTATCAGTACTTTACAATGCACGGTTTTTTGTATTACACTAACAAGAATTCTGTTGTTCTGCATTTCAGTAATGAGAATTGGGGTGGAAAAATTTACTTTGTGGAAACATCTTAAAATGAAACCTTTTCAGGACCATTATTAAAGCAAAATATCATTTTTAAATTCTTTTATAAATAGAATGAAATAAGAACTTAAAAAGCACTGTTTACTACACTGCCATTGCTAAAATTACATCTCTGCACAAAAGTTTTACTAGAGTTGTAAATATGGGCTGCATGCAAAGATTCATAAAGTGTAATCAGTATAGTCTGATTCACAAGCAGGTGAATATTACGGTTCAAGAGGAGTTCAGTAACAAATGACTGGTTTAAATCTGTCTGATGAATCTTTCATTGAAAGAACTGACTGAATCCAATCCAGTTGCTGAATTAACATCTGGTGAAATATGCCCTGGACATGATCTTGACTGGTTTTGAGGTTCACCCTTCCATTTTCTTTCATTTGCAGCTTGTGCTTGTTTATAGTTGTAATCTTATCCTTGGCACTTTTCATCTTTTTCATGTCTCCATTTGCCTAGCACTGGACCTGCTGGCATAGTAGGGGCCATTGGCTCTTGAATTGGCTGTCTGAACTTGTGGCATTGAGTCAAAATACACTGTACTACTTCCTGAAAGTTATTTTCTATTTTTTGTAGGATATGACGATTAAAGGCCTGAAAGAATTGAAGGACAGGTTTTTTTAATATGGTCTTTGTAAGAATGCAAAAATACACAGCGTATTTTGACCTTCTGCTTGGTGTTGTTGAATTAGAGCTTTAGTTGTAGATTTCCCTCTTGCATCTTCACATGATTTGGCTGTGCTATGTCACACTCTCTCTCTTTTTAAAAAAAAATACATCTGTAAATACTTTGAAGATCAAGCTAACCGGTTGGTATCTTTCTTTTTTCTCACTCTTCATGGTAGTGGACCGTATTGTTGGTTTGGACCAGGTGGCAGGGATGAATGAGACTGCATTTGGGGCTACATATAAGACCAAGAAGGGCATGTTCCGCACTGTGGGTCAGCTCTATAAAGAATCCCTCACGAAACTTATGGCCACACTCAGAAACACCAACCCCAACTTCGTGCGCTGTATCATCCCCAATCATGAGAAAAGAGTAAGTGACATTTGCCCCTTAATTTGTAAGTAAATATGTACTTTAGCTAAATTAAAAACTATATATATATATATATATATAGAGTAGGGTTGTGAAGGTGAGGAAATTTTCCCACCGGTTAATCGATGTGTGACAACACCGGTAATACCAGTATCACTGCGGGGGCTTTTCCTCGCTTTCCTTCGCTTTTAAATAGCTTGTAAAAGCGGCGTGTGCATTTTACTTTCACTTTCAAATAGTGGCAATTCGGAGTAAAGCAATTGTTCGTTTGAATTTTCCCTCTTTTCCTCGCTTTTAAATAGCTTAAAAGCACCGTGCGCATTTTGCTTTCACTTTAGAATTAGAGGCAGTTAAGCGTCAATTGCTTGAATGCAACAACAAAATACAACGTCAAACTCACTTTAGCCTGTATATAAAACAGAACTTTTATTAACAAAACAAATAAAAATTCACCATGCCATAGGGCAGGCTATGCCTAATATAAAATAACAAATAACTTGCATAAAGTTTAAATGTACAAAACTGGAAACAAGTAACCATGTATAATATAAAACCAAATAAATAAGAAACGTAGAGTAAGAAAGCTTGGAGGCACGGCATACACCTTGATGTCAAATAAAATAAATAAATGGCACAAAGTTGAAATAAAGTACAAATCAGCTAACAATGTGAAACCAATTAAATAAGAAACGAATGTTTAAAGGGGTCATATGATGCGATTTCAAGTTTTCCTTTCTCTTTGGAGTGTCAACTGTTTAACTCTAGGGGAGTTGGAAAATGAGCCTATTTTCAAAAATAGTGGCGTGTCCCTTTAATACATATTTCCTGATTTGATTCCAATTCAATCCTTATTTGATTAATTTGAGTATATTTCATTTATAATGTCCAATTTACTTCTCAGCTAATGCTGCAAATTAGGGGTGGGCGATAAGACTAAAATCTTATTTCATGGTATGAGAAATTTTATTTCATGATAACGATATATATCTCGATATAGCTATTTTTTTTATTTAATTTTTATTATAAAAAGAAAAAGCAGCAAATTACAAACACAATAGAACAAATAAATAAACTTAAAAATAAAGTGTATGAATAAAACACCGTTTCGTGAACCTAGGAGAGGAGGTAATTCTGACTTTGCTATGACAATCTGGCGCTTCTGAATCAGCTACGGTTTTGTTATTAGTTTAAGTATTTGCTATTGACTGTTCAACTGCGGAGTTTTGCGCATCGTGTGTGTGTGTGTGTGTGTGCCCGAGGGAGAGAGAGAGAGAGAGAGAGCGCAAGTGAGCGAGAGAGAGAGAGAGACGGGGTCATATCACAGTGGAGTCAGCTGTCTTAACTGTGGCTTGTGTACTGCAAACACATACCAGCTTCATCACGGTGTCTGTCACGTGACTCTGTTCCCCTTTCGGGCTGTCTTTACATTTATTTAGAAAGATGAAGCTCGCGATTACGGTAAGGGGCGTTACATTTCCGACGAGTGCTTGCGGTGTTCGGCCAATCACAATGCACTGGGTCAGCTGGCCAATCAGAGCAGACTGCGCTTGTCGGAAGGAGGGACTTTGTAGAAAACGAAGCGTTTGAGAGAGGCGGGGCATAGCGGACCTACAGTAATGTACAGTATTTGAAAAATAATGTGTTTTTTGAACATTAAAGCATGTCAACATATTCTGTTACACCAAATACACCAAATAATGATCTTTAAAAAAGCATCATATGACCCCTTTAAAGAAACCTTCCAAAATCACCTTGGATAAACGGCAAAAGTCAACAGGCTTTTTAAAATCCAAAATATTGCCAAACAGGCGCTTTTGCATTTCGTTTCAAAACTAAATCATCCGCGATCGTCTTGTCTGTCTCACCCCACTCTTTTCAGTCAGCTCGACTCAGAATTAAATCTGATCTGTGATGCAACTGTCGTTCAACTGCATTGAGCAGCCGCGTTCAGTTTTTAATGGTAGTGTCTGTTCATTTACTGAACTGAATTACTATAAAATTACTATAAAAAATCAAAACGACGGTGGGGGTCGGTGACGCGGTGGGCAAGTGACGTAACCAGTGTTGCGGCTTAACACCGGTATCACCGTCAACACCGTCTATCGCGGCAAGCCTAATATATAGACTACTCGCCTCATTGTCGTTCTTCTCTGTTAGGCTGGTAAACTGGAGCCCCATCTGGTTCTGGATCAGCTGAGGTGTAATGGAGTTCTAGAAGGGATCCGGATCTGCAGGCAGGGATTCCCTAACCGTATTGTCTTCCAGGAGTTCAGACAGAGGTGCGTTTCAGAAATCTCATTCAGATGCATATTATATTTTATCAGTGATAAAACTTATATCTGTTTTCCTCTCAGATACGAGATCCTCACGCCTAATGCAATCCCCAAAGGTTTTATGGACGGCAAGCAGGCTTGTGAGAGAATGGTAAGATTTCTTAAGATGACTAACAAATGAGGTTTACCAGTACTTTATTCATCAAGTTTCATCCAGAGGGCCAATAAAATTATTCAATCAAAATAGTTAAAATACCAGTGTATTATGAAATATTCCATAAAAACAAATTCAGCAAGAACACATTAATTTGATCAAAAGTGTAGAAGAATGAAGAGACAATGAAGAAACTGTTTTCAACATTAATAATAATAAAAAAATTCTTACACACAGATCAGCCTATTAGAATAATACCTGAAGAATCATGTGACGCTGAAAAAACATCTGGAATAAATTACCTTTTAAAATATATTACAATAGAAAAGAATTGTTAAATTGTAATAATGTTCACAATATTACTCCTTTTACTGTATTTTTTCTATCAAATAAAAGCAGCCTTGCTGAGCATAAGAGACTTAGTCTATTTTCTTATCATTTTTCAAATAAATTTGATTTGCACTACATTCTAAATTATTTTCTTTTCATAATTAAAATTAGTATATCCAAATGTTACTTTAAAAATAATAGGCTTCCGAATCACACCTAATAGCTCAATAATGCATTTCTCCAATAATGCATTTCTCCATACAATTTGTTTATATATTTTTTCATAATTGAATTAAAGAAACATTAAAACAAAAATTAAAGGTGCATTATAATGATGTAACTATTTCATGTTTATTCTATAGTTTCATAGAATTTTTACTGATATCCATTATTGAAAAACCAGCATCTGAAATTTTGCATCTGCTAAATGCTAAGTCTCAACTAACAATGTGATCTGTAGATCCGAGCCTTGGAGCTTGACCCAAACCTCTACCGGATCGGGCAGAGTAAGATTTTCTTCCGCACTGGAGTCTTGGCACACCTGGAGGAAGAGAGAGACCTGAAAATAACAGATATCATAATCTACTTTCAGTCGGTCTGTCGAGGATACCTGGCTCGCAAGTGAGTCCAAATGCAAAAGGTTGATCTAAATCTTCTAAAAGAGTAATATGCAGCTCTTACTGTTTATAGTGTAGAAATAAAATGTATTCTTATGAGACCTTGTCAGTGAACTGGTGCTGTTCTCTGGTTGTGTTTCTCAGAGCCTTTGCTAAAAAACAGCAGCAGCTAAGCGCTTTGAAAGTCCTCCAGAGAAACTGCGCCGCCTACCTAAAACTACGCCACTGGCAGTGGTGGAGACTTTTCACCAAGGTTGGTCTCGGTTTTTAAAATAGTCAGTTTACATAACTGCTTAAATGATTTGACCAGCTTTTGTATGCTTATCTAAAAGAAACCTGAGTGTATGCAAGAGAAATTTAATCGTAATCAACTCCTTTGCAGTATTGTTGCAGATAGTTTTCATTTGAGACGTGCATTACATGTGTGTCTGCAGGTGAAACCCCTCCTCCAGGTGACCCGTCAGGAGGAAGAAATGCAGGCCAAGGATGAGGAGCTCATTAAAGTAAAGGAGAAGCAGGTGAAAGTAGAGAACGAACTGGTGGAAATGGAGCGGAAACACCAGCAGGTTAGCACACGCTCACCTCCTCCCTCGGTCTCCTGAAAATCACGGTGTTATTTAAGTGTTATGTTAGTTTCTGACCTGATATCCGACAGAATGAACCACATTTAAAGACATTGTTACATATCTGATATATGTATATGGCCACACTTGAATCATGTTGCTTTCTAAAATCACTGTAATGTGGTCTCTTGTGGCTTTATTCAATGTAGTGGAATCTCCATGTTCTTCGGCAGTGTTACGAAATCATAGTGACTCTGTCAACCAAATTGACAAATGTTGTAGAAACAGAGAAAATATCTGGTTTGATGTTTGTTTCAGCTCTTGGAGGAGAAGAACATCCTGGCGGAGCAACTGCAGGCTGAGACAGAATTGTTTGCTGAAGCTGAAGAGATGAGGGCTCGCCTGGTGGCTAAAAAACAAGAGCTGGAGGAGATTCTTCATGACCTGGAGTCCCGTGTGGAGGAGGAAGAGGAGAGGAACCAATCTTTGCAGAATGAGAAGAAGAAAATGCAGTCACACATACAGGTGAGGACTTCACTGGAGAAATATAATCCTTGATCTGCTGTAAACTTAAAATAGAGTAAATCTGTATCTAAAACTTCTAGGTTGGAATAATGAAGTACTTCAGCAAGTACTTGGCTAAAAAGGCTCACAAAGTCCTACCCTGTTGCTGTACAGAAACCACAAGTGTGTGTGTGTGTATGTTTGTCTTCAGGACCTAGAGGAACAACTAGATGAAGAAGAGGCTGCCCGACAGAAGCTTCAGTTGGAGAAGGTGACTGCTGAAGCCAAGATAAAAAAGATGGAGGAAGACATTCTGCTGTTGGAGGACCAGAACTCCAAATTCCTAAAGGTCAGTGCAGATGTCAAACCGCCTAATCAAAATACAGCAATAAGGATGCTTTGAGAAGAGCTTTGCAGAGGCAAACTGAGCTCTTCCTTTCCTCCCTATCCCTCAGGAGAAAAAACTCCTGGACGACCGTGTCAGTGAGATGACCTCCCAGTTGGCTGAGGAAGAAGAGAAAGCCAAGAACCTTGGCAAAGTCAAAAACAAGCAAGAAATGATGATGGTAGACCTGGAAGGTGAGGACTGTGTTTAATATGGATCATTTTATTTAAGTGAATGTAAAGCAGTGAGTCTTTAATGTTTATGTTTGTGCGTTTGATCCTCAGAGCGTCTGAAGAAAGAGGAGAAAACTAGGCAGGAGCTTGAGAAAGCCAAAAGAAAGCTGGATGCTGAGACCACAGACCTACAGGACCAGATAGCTGAGCTGCAGGCCCAGATTGAGGAACTCAAGATCCAACTGGCCAAGAAAGAAGAGGAGCTACAGGCTGTACTGGCCAGGTGAAGATCGGTACATTGAGGAACACAGAATAAGAAAAAGGAGAAATTGGCTACTCTCGCCAGTAAAAATCCACTTGGAGCCGAAATAGTTTGACTGTCGTCTATCTGACCATGTCTAAACAATAACTTATGGTAGGCCGTGTTATGCTGCCGTCATGTAAATTGGTATATTAGTCGTGGAAAGTTTTTATTCTTGACCTTTGTGTTTAAGATTGTGCAGTCCTGAAATACTTTAGTAAATTGGTATCACATTGATGTTGCGACATCACAACAAAAACACATTGACATGCTTACCCACGTTCATATATATATAAATAGAATGAAGTCTGTATGATAGCCATATCTTTAAATCGACACCGGCCATAGAGTTTCTTATTTGTCATATTATATAAAATTTTATAGCAAACCCGGTTAAAGAAGTCAGTGAGTTTTGGAATCTTCATTTAATTTAATTTAATTTAATTTAATTTGTTCACCAAGGCAAACCATACAGTGAAAATGTTTTGAAATATAATTACAATCTAAAAGAAGTGATCATTTCAAATATATATCTTTTATAAAACTGTTTACGGTTACACGTGATCAATTTAACGTGTCCTTGCTGAATAAAAGTATTCAGTTTTTAAAAAAATCTTAATTAAGCATCAAAAATGGTTTTCAACATTGATAATGAGAATTGTTTCTGGAGCACCAAATCCACATATTTATATCCATTCATTAATAAGCTGCTTAGCAGGTATATTTTTACTTCACTTGTGGAATTTTTTTTTTACCAGTCATAACAGAGGTTATTTACATATAGAAGTCTGAAAAGTACAGTAGCAAAAATTGTCCTAGATTAATCAGGATCAGAAAGTGTTTGTTAATACAAGTGTAGAATATAACTCCTTTAATTTAGCATGCATCGTTTTGCTAATAATCTTTGCTTGTATTTATTGTTCCACAGAGGTGATGAGGAGGTCGCTCAGAAGAACAACGCACTGAAGCAAGTGCGGGAGCTGCAGGCCCAGCTAGCTGAGCTCCAGGAGGATCTGGAGTCTGAGAAAGCAGCCAGAAACAAAGCTGAGAAACTCAAGAGAGATCTGAGTGAGGAACTGGAGGCTCTGAAGACTGAGCTGGAAGACACACTGGATACCACTGCCGCCCAGCAGGAGCTGAGGTACAAGAGTCTGCATCAGGAACTAAATCATGACCACAAAATTGAACTAGTTTTTAAAGGGATAGTTCACCAAAAAAATGAACATTCTTCAAAAGATTTGAAACAAATGAATGATGAGTAAATGACAAGAATGTTGGTAAACAAAGTTGACTGTAGCCATTGACTTCTGTAAAAAAAATGTTTTCCATACCATGGAAATTTGTTAATTAGAATCTGACCCTTTCTGTTTTCTCTGAACCGTTCTCCTCAAATGTGTGTTGCCTAATAATGTGTCGTTTGCTCATAAAGGACCAAACGAGAGCAGGAGGTGGCAGAACTGAAGAAGGCCATCGATGACGAGGTGAAAAACCATGAGTCTCAGGTCCAGGAGATGAGACAGAGGCACGGCACATCTCTGGAAGAGATCTCTGAGCAGCTGGAACAGGCCAAAAGAGTAAGCCACAGAGATAAAGAGGGAGGGTTTTCAGTTCTAATGTCTTGACTGGAACGCCGCCAGTCATCTGCTGTCAGAATGATGTGTTTGGAATTAATTTCCTCGTTCGGTGATTAAATATGGTATGATCTCCTGTTGATATAGTTTAGGCAAAATCTGTCTCTCTCATACTGTCTGTCTGTCAACATTAGGTTAAGTCAAATCTGGAGAAAAACAAACAGACTCTGGAGAGTGATAATAAGGAGATGGCCAATGAGGTGAAGAGTTTGCAGCAAGCCAAGTCTGAATCTGAGCACAAGAGAAAGAAACTTGAGGCTCAGCTGCAGGAGTTCATGGCCCGCTTCAGCGAGGGAGAGAAGGTTAAAGGAGAACTTTCAGACCGCTCCTACAAACTACAAGTGAGTGCTGTTACACTCATAATCATTTCTGTTACACCCAGTTCCATGAAATACCTCCCTCACACACTACAGATAAGTGTTGTTTCATTTGTTTTTTGCTGACTGAAATGTGGGTGTTATTAGGGCTGCACGATTAATCAAAATAAAACCCAAATCACGATTATGGCTTAGTGCGATTATCAAATTGCAATTATTATTAAATAAATTGCAAATCGCAATAATTAAATAAATATTAGCGAATGTGCTATTAAATTATTATATAATAACCAGTTTCATGTATTATTTTATACTGCAGGCCCGTTGAATGCTTGAATCTTATTGGCTGACGAACGTTCTAAGGTGTGCAATTATTTTCATGGAAACGCACAGCGAACGTAGTTCCAGGCAGCTCTGGACTGCATTTCATGTCCATATCACTTCGCCAAATGAATTCTGTTATTTGAAAAGGTCTTACAACAGCACAATAACCAAAGCCCACAACAACACTGGCCAGACAAATAAATATAGTAAGCAATATGATAAAAATGACAGATCATTTCCATGTTTTACCTACATAATAAAAAGTAATTATGTGGCAAAGCACATACTCTATCTCTCCCGCTCTCTCTCCCTCACAGACGCACATACATAACTTACAGTACAGAAACATACACGCGCTAACGTTGTTATCGCTACTCTGGCGATTTTATTTTAAAAGCTACATGATATTTCTCACAAGCGAGGTAACAACGGCGCTGTTCGTGAAGAAAATGAACTTAAAAGTTTCACTGTTAGTTCGCTGCTGCCGAACAATTTTGAGAGACACACAGACTCAGAGGTAATATACACTCACTCTCTCTCTCTCTCTCTCTCTCTCTCGCCCTCTCTCTGTCTGTCTAATAACTTCATTAATATCTGCATCAATGGATCAAGCCTCCATTACTAGGTATAAAATTATGTTTTGGAATTAGCAACGGAGGCGTTGGATGAGATGCGGAAGAAATTAATCCTACTCACAATAGCGTTTTAAGTACAAAAACCGGACGAATGCCTTGAAATATATCATCTGATCAATGTCTTGAAGTGTGGCAACCGTAGTATAAGCGGAATAATTGACTCCGGGCCATTGAGTTATTAGAAAATGTTTCAGCTACATTTACGTTTTTTTTAGTTTAGTTACTAATCATTTGTTTTTAAAACAAACATCTTTTTACTACATGGAATTAAGCAATTCTGTTAAATTCTGACTCCGTATTTCATATGAGACCTTTTGGTGGAGTTCAGTTCATTCGGATAATGTGAATGCTGTTTTCTGAACTCTGCTGTTTTTACGAACCATTCGCCTAAAAAGGGTGATCTTGTGTACGGTTGATGTGAACTCTGGCACAGTTCGCTTCTAATGTGAATGCAATTATACTAAATTTTGGAAGTGAGCCATTATTGATGACATATGAATTGGTCAGACTGTATTTATGTGTTTACTCGCTCGCTTTCCTGACAAGTGTGACTGACGCTCTGCAAGCAGAGAGAATTTATATCTGATTCCCGTATTCTCTTACACCCTTGCAGTACATTTGTGTCAAATAGGTGTAGCGAATCAGCTCATGGGGAAATATGAATAATTAACCATAACTAGTTATAATTCACTATTCATATTTTAGATCCACTGTAGATATTTAGCTGACCACTCAGGGTCAACCGTCTTGTCAATTCTAAGAACGTTAATTTCCTGGTTAAAGGAAATAACTTTCTTACTGTACAATTCTATAAGTTTGTAACGTAAATCTGCATGATTATTGACTCCGGTTATGAGTAAACAATGAACACGCCAAGTGTGATACAAGTAAGGTTTTATTAACTACATAAAAACTTAAACTAGTCTAACATACTACACAAACACATTAAGCCGGTCTAACATAAACATACACACACACACACATACAGTTGGTATAGGAAAGGGTTAAAGTTTAGCACTAAAGAAAGAGACATAAGGAATGACATTTATGGAACCATTTTGCATATTCAGCAGATCTAAAACCTGAGGGAAAACGTCAGATTCTTAGTTCAAACAAACCTTGTAAAAAGGTGTAACTGATACTTAATGCATCAATTAAATCGACTAAGTTTGATACTTGCGTATGTCTGAAAAAGATTCCTGATGCAATCTTAAGGCCCCAAGATCTTGCTGAAGTTGGTTGATGAAAAAGAGCTAGTTTGAGTCAGAATCACTTGATGAATGAAAAGGACTAGGCCGGAGCCTGGCACGAGCTTTGGTATCCTGGAGCGTTTCTCACATCTTCATCTTAGCATCTCACTGAACCACCGAACAGGGCGGGTCACATGGAGTGTGGCCTTTTAAAGCCTGCAGAGATTCACGCCTCTCAAGATGGGTTCGTCCAATGAGGAAGGCTGAAATCCCAAGCGGGAGGTTGGAAATACTGAGGATTTTTATGAGTCTTTGTCTGTAAGCATGGTATTTTGCATATGTAATTCGCTGGAGTGTTGAGGCACAAATTAGTACCGATTCTTAGAACATCAATATGTTGCATAGGTATCAGCATATAATATACACACTTGTTTCGATCATAAGAAGGCGAATTCATAGATACTAGACATGAAATAGTTACTTATATGAATGTGTGGTTTATCGTAAGCACGGATAAAAATAGTCTATAATACAACAGATTAAATACAACACAGCAATAATATACACACTGGCCTGAAGAAAATGGGTGTTCATTCAAAGAAGGTTTTCCTATGAATTAATTAGTAGAAAAGTCCATTTCTCCTGTGCATTTGTGTCCCTTTGTTTCTGGAGAAAGCAGAATGAGAGCCGGCTCGCATTCCACAAGGTTGTAAATGTATCGGGTTACCATGAAACCAGGGTCTTGTTCGGCGTCCTGGGGTGTTACAAAGTATTTGTGAAATCTAGCTAACAAAATATATATTGTGTGTTGGAGTGTTCCAGACGCTACATAGGTTTCATTCTGTGTTGCCGTTTCGGAAACACAATTAAACTTTCAAAATCCAAAAAGTACAAAAATGAGGCGAGCAAGCATACATTCATTTCGCCATCTTCTGCATAGTCGTTACCTAGCATCATGGGTAAACAGCGCTGATTACACAAACGTACTGTGGTTCAGAACCAAAAATCACCGTGTGAACACACACCGGCAGGGGGAGGAGGATCAATCGAACTTGGGTTCGGACCAGGCTATCGAACCAAGTGTGAAAGCAACCTTAAATAGATCAACATCCAGGGTTCTTGTGAAATATCCCCCAACTGCAAATTACATTTTTTAATTTTCATTTGTAGGCAGAACTGGACAATGTTTCTTCTCTGTTGGAAGATGCTGAGAAGAAGGGAATTAAGCTGGCCAAAGATGCCTCCAGCTTAGAGAGTCAGCTTCAGGACACTCAGGTAATGTGACTCTGCAAACAAGAAGCACTGGAAGAATGGATGAAGCAGTGACGTGACATAGAAGTATTTTGTATCTACCAACAAGGTTGATCCATAGTATGCTCCTGAAGTAATTTCATCAGCAATGAAAGACTGCGGAGATTTAATTAAAACAATAGATAGACTTTTCACAGAAAAGGTGTGGGATGTTATGGAGTCATGCTTGTTTAAAATTGTGGCTGTAGGAGCTGCTTCAAGAGGAGACTCGTCAGAAGCTGAACCTGAGCAGCCGTGTCCGTCAACTGGATGAGGAGAAGAACAGCCTTCTGGAGCAGCAGGAGGAGGAAGAGGAGGCACGGAGGAACCTGGAGAAACAACTGGCAACACTACAAGCCCAGGTCCGCCCAATTACTATATTTTTTTAATGAGGGAACACAGCATGTCAGTTTATATTAACATCTAGCACGTAATAATGTGTTTTGCTTACCTCACAGAAGTCTGTCATGTTTGAGGACAAAAAGTGGGTTATGTAAAAATTTCATTTTCAGACTTCTGTTCAGAAAGGAAATCAGATGTACTATTTACTATAAAAATATTAATTAAAAATAAAAGCACTACTCTTTAATCCTTCTTTTTTGGATAGCTGGTGGAGACTAAGAAGAAGCTGGAGGATGATGTGGGAGCCCTTGAAGGCCTGGAGGAGGTCAAGAGGAAGCTGCAGAAGGACATGGAGGGGACCAGTCAGAAGCTGGAGGAAAAGGCCATCGCTTACGACAAGCTGGAGAAAACCAAGAACAGATTGCAGCAGGAGCTTGATGACCTTATGGTAGACCTGGACCACCAGAGACAGATCGTCTCAAACCTGGAGAAGAAACAGAAGAAGTTTGACCAGGTATGAATGGTTTTGGTTTAAACAACATTTCACCCAAAAATGACATTTCTGTCATCATTTACTCACCCTCATGTCATTCCAAAACCATAGGACGTTTGCCCCTGTTCAAAACATAAATGAAGATAATTGTAATGAAACCTGAGAGATTTCTCTTTCTCTTTAAAATCAATTTCACCAAAACTTGACACTTAATTCAGAGTTGTAATGCTTAATTAGTCTTCTGAAAAGACACAATTGCTCTATATGATGAACAGATTTAATTGAGGTTTTTATTCACTAATAAACTGTGATCAGACACGCATATATAGTTCATCAAATATGGGAAACTGAAGCTCAGGTATGAGCTTGATGTGCGAGAAACAACTTTTATGATGTCTTTATGAACTTTTTTTTATTGCAATCTTCTGAGTGGATAGACAGAAATCTCTCAGGTTTAATTTAAAATGTCTTAATTTGTGTTTAGATGATAAAAGTCTAATAGTTTTGCAACAATTAGAGGGTGGATAACTGATGGCATTTTTTAATTAAGGTTATTTCATTTTTTTTAAATTATCTTTAAATACTACTGAAAAACGTCATCATTTAAGAATAATTTAAATTCATAATTTTGTTGATGTGTATGTCAGATGCTGGCGGAGGAGAAGACCATCTCTGCACGTTACGCTGAGGAGAGGGACCGTGCTGAGGCTGAGGCGAGAGAGAAAGACACCAAAGCTCTGTCTATGGCCCGAGCCCTGGATGAAGCTCTGGAGGCTAAAGAGGAATTTGAGAGACTCAACAAGCAGCTCAGAGCTGAGATGGAGGATCTGATGAGTTCCAAGGATGACGTAGGCAAGAATGTATGTCACTATGTTACTGGACATTTGTACTGTTATGTTACGTATGTGGTAATGTTTGAATTCATCATCATGATGTTTAAAGAACCTTTGGTGTTTTGTAAACAGCAGATTTTGTTGGCTGTTTTTGTTTTGAGACCTCATAATGTGCTGACACCCGACTGAATGTGATAACTAAGTGTGATGCAACAAGTTTCAGGTGTCAAATAATTTGCCTGTCATCACTGACAGCAGAATACTTAGCAAAGCGACAAAATCAGCCAGTCAGAACATATGCGTTTAATATGCAGCATTTGGAGCAAGATTTTGGATCTACTCAGAGTGCCATGGCAAACATAGAAGCAAAAAATCAAATAAAATGCTAATTTGGTCAGAAAACTGGAATAATTTTAAATTGCGATTTCCAGATCTAGAAATGTCATGAAAGTGTAATGTTAAAAGTCATCTGGAATGTACGAAAATGGAAATCTTCCTCAGAAATCTCTATAAAACAATTTTAGAAATGTGGAGTCATTATGAATGACTAGAGAAGTCCTGGATCTTAGATTTATCATTTAGTGCTCGAGCACATTGTGACTGGTTCTGACACTGTCTCACTGTATTTTTTTATGTGCTCTAATCTGTAGGTGCATGAGCTGGAGAAATCCAAGCGCACTCTGGAGCAGCAGGTGGAGGAGATGCGCACTCAGCTGGAGGAGCTGGAGGACGAACTACAGGCCACAGAGGATGCCAAGCTGCGTCTGGAGGTCAACATGCAGGCCATGAAGGCCCAGTTTGACCGAGACCTGCAGGCCAGAGATGAGCAGAATGAGGAGAAGAAGAGGGCACTGGTCAAACAGGTGGGTGAAATTGATCATTTTTGAGGATTACAAGCTATTTGGGTTTGTAGATTATCGATTTATTAAGATTAAAAGTTTATTCATTGGTACCTGTTTTCATAAACTTAATCTATAAATGTTCTAACCATTGATTGTTTACTACTGTTTATTTTTCTTTTCTTTAAAAACAAAAAAATTAACCATTTTATTGCCATTGAGGCAACAGTGCAATAAAGGGTTAATACCTTAAGACGCAACAAGCAACAAATTTGTGCGCACTCAGCTGGAGGAGCTGGAGGACGAACTACAGGCCACAGAGGATGCCAAGCTGCGTCTGGAAGTCAACATGCAGGCCATGAAGGCCCAGTTTGACCGAGACCTGCAGGCCAGAGATGAGCAGAATGAGGAGAAGAAGAGGGCACTGGTCAAACAGGTGGGTGAAATTGATCATTTTTGAGGATTACAAGCTATTTGGGTTTGTAGATTATCGATTTATTAAGATTAAAAGTTTATTCACTGGTACCTGTTTTCATAAACTTAATCTATAAATGTTCTAACCACTCTATATTGATTGTTTACTACTGTTTATTTTTCTTTTCTTTAAAAACAAAAAAATTAACCATTTTATTGCCATTGAGGCAACAGTGCAATAAAGGGTTAATACCTTAAGACGCAACAAGCAACAAATTTGTGACAGTCTGCAATAGTTTTTACTCAAAGTAAACCTATCTGATATAGTTTTTTGATCCATGATTCCTGTTCCTTCAGGTGCGTGAGATGGAGGTGGAGCTTGAAGATGAAAGGAAGCAGAGAGCTCTTGCTGTAGCTGCCAAGAAGAAACTGGAGATGGACCTTAAAGATGTGGAAGCTCAGATCGAGGCTGCAAACAAGGCCCGTGATGAAGCCATTAAACAGCTACGCAAACTCCAGGTAGAATCTTTTCTAGAATGCTTTTGTTCATGCACAAATGTGATGACACAGTAATGATAATGCAAGAAGTGACACGTTTACTGTTAGCATAATCTGTTCATCCTCACAAAAAAGAGTCTTTTAGTAGTGACACAGATGTCTACATCATTGACTGCATTACTGTAACTTAATATTTTATGTCACAGTCAGTGCCGAGACATGACAAAATGTGAGAAGAACAGATGGCAACATCTCTCTGTTTTCATCCAGGCCCAGATGAAGGACTACCAGAGGGAGCTGGAGGAGGCGCGTGCTTCTCGTGATGAGATCTTCACTCATTCTAAGGAGAACGAGAAGAAGCTCAAGAGTCTAGAGGCTGAGATTCTGCAGTTGCAAGAGGTGAGCAAGCACTGTAAAGCCTGAAATACTCCCTTGAAAAAAGCTTTTCTGCAGAATCTGTTGCTTGTTTTCCCACACAGTTTTAAATCGGATTAGTTAAACTGGCGAGTCTTTGTTTATGGTTTGGCTGTGATTGGTTTTAGGACCTGGCATCTTCAGAGAGAGCCCGACGCCACGCTGAACAGGAAAGAGACGAGCTGGCAGATGAGATTTCCAACAGTGCCTCTGGAAAGTGAGTCATTGTGCTGCAAACCTCTTGAAGTCAGCGACCGACTTGACTTGAGTATTGTGATGTATTTACAAGTCATACAGATTATTGAATGAGAACCAATAAAGTACAAAATGTTGCAGTGCTAATTATAAGTGATTAATCCATTTGCAAATGACAACAATCCAATCAATTTCAAATAAACTAAATTCAAAATGAACAAAAATAAAACAAAAGTTCAGCCCTACATTTTTTTTTTTTCTCATTTGAGGAGCTGTTTCCCTCAGAAATACGTCACAATATGGAACAAAAGACAACCATTTCCATTTCAAGCTGACTTATTTCATGCTGACATACTCGGCTGTTAATTCATTTGCTCCTGTTCATAGTTTGTTCAAAAACAAGCTTTATACATAGTTTATTTTCCTACAGGGCAGCCCTCTTGGATGAGAAGAGGAGGCTGGAGGCTCGCATTGCCCAGCTGGAGGAAGAGCTAGAGGAGGAACAGAGCAACATGGAGCTCCTGAACGACCGCTTCCGCAAGACCACTATGCAGGTGCGGTGCTGACGATGCTACAAGCTAACTTGTCATCATGGCCTGTTCTCAAAGCTCTGTGTGCTTGTGATCTTTGCAAGATGTGTAATTGTTATCTACTCAAGTATTCTCTGTTACATTTGATACAGCACTTCTTTAGTAACAGCTGTTGTCTGTATTTCAGGTGGATACCCTGAACACAGAGCTGGCGGGAGAGCGCAGTGCCGCCCAGAAGAGCGAGAACGCCCGTCAGCAGCTGGAGCGGCAAAACAAAGACTTGAAGACCAAACTGCAGGAACTTGAGGGATCCGTCAAATCAAAGTTTAAGGCCTCTATCGCCGCCCTGGAGGCCAAGATTATCCAGCTAGAGGAGCAGCTTGAACAGGAAGCAAAGTATGCAACAGTGAAAAGAAACCATTTAACTCCACGTTATAAATCTATCAAAACCCATTGGCACTAACTCGTCTTTTGGCAATGATTTATGGTCTGTGCGCTCAACAGGGAGAGAGCTGCAGCCAATAAGATTGTGCGCCGCACAGAGAAGAAACTCAAGGAGGTGTTCATGCAAGTGGAGGATGAGCGGCGCCATGCAGACCAGTACAAAGAGCAGGTGAATGAAGCCCAAATCCTAAACTTTGTTCTCAAATTGTAGAAGTCCCCAGCTGCTTATGCTGAATAAATGCAGAATAACTTAAACAGAGTTTCCACTTTCCAAGCTTCAGTCAACATTTTCTTGTGTATAAAAAGTTCCCCATTTCAAAGTGATTTGCTGGTTTTACAGCATATCCATGAGTTTTTTCCAAAACTTTGCTACCAAGGTATTGGACTGCTTTTGTGGATAAACTTGCCACAAGGCAGCATTTTTTTAAATCAAAAATATTGTGAAATGCTATTGCAGTTTTAAATAGCTGTGTACTATTTGAACATATTTATTCTTGTGATGGCAAATCTAAATTTGTAGCACCATTACTCCAGTCTTCAGTGTCACATGATCCTTCAGAAGTCATTCTAATATGCCGATGTGCTGCTCAATTATTACAAGTTTTACCTTAGAGTCAAATAGGTTGAGAACCACTGCTTTATATCCCACTTGGCTCTCAGAGCTAAATTCTCTCTCATCCTATAATTTATAGTGGAGGCAATTTAGAAATCAGAGACTCAGAATTTCTGTCTTTCTTCAGATGGAGAAGGCAAACTCCCGCATGAAGCAGTTGAAGAGGCAGCTGGAGGAGGCTGAGGAAGAGGCGACTCGAGCAAACGCCTCCCGCAGGAAGCTGCAGAGAGAGCTGGATGATGCCACCGAAGCTAGTGAGGGTCTGAGCCGAGAGGTCAACACTCTCAAAAACCGCCTCAGGTACAGGGGCTGTGCCAATACAATCACATATTGCAATACTTTAGATCCTTGTATAAGTACGTCTGTTTATTTGTGCTTTCATGTCATGTCCTACTGTTTAATAATTATGCAGAAAGTGATCAGACCCTCAGTGCAGTCAGTTGAGCAGCATAATGGTGCTGATATTCACTGCCATTTCAGACAACTGTTGTAAAAAAATGTGTACATTTGTTGGTTGTGTCAGTGTTATTGTTAACAAAACCTAAAGCTATTAAAAATAATTTTCAGAAATTGAAATAAGGCTGAAATAAAACATAAATAATAGATGGGAAAACGTATATATTTACGCAAATATTTATTTTTACATTTTGAATTTTCATTTAAGTTAAAGTACTAAAATTACTAAAAATAAAAGTGAATTAATGCTAAATAGAAATATTTGTAAAAACCTAATATAAATGACAAGCACATAACAAAATTACTAAAATGAAATACGTAATTAATTAATGCGTAATGAAACTATTAAAAAAGCAAAAGAATTACGAAAGCACCTGACAAATTACTAAAGCTGAAATAAAAATAAATGAATGCTAAATACAAATATAAAAAATGACAAGCACACGCAAAATAAAATAAATAAATGGTAAATAGAAATATTTTTAAAAAACTAATAAAAATGACTAAAACTCGTCAAATTTTATAAACTGTGATAAAAAAAATTGTGCTAAATAGAAGTATTAAAAAAATACAAAATTACTAAAATGAAATACGTAATTAATTAATGCGTAATGAAACTATTAAAAAAGCAAAATAATTACGAAAGCACCTGACAAATTACTAAAGCTGAAATAAAAATAAATGAATGCTAAATACAAATATAAAAAATGACAAGCACACGCAAAATAAAATAAATAAATGGTAAATAGAAATATTTTAAAAAAACTAATAAAAATGACTAAAACTCGTCAAATTTTATAAACTGTGATAAAAAAAATTGTGCTAAATAGAAGTATTAAAAAAATAATAATTAGGAACTATAACAAAATTACTCAAATTAAAAATGTAAGAATAAAAGATAATTCAAAATATTAAAAATATAATAGTATATGAATAATAGCGTGCTGGGCAATGCGCTCTAATGCCTTGTTCACGCTCTCCTGCAGGCGAGGAGGTCCTGTTAGCTTCTCCTCAAGCCGTTCTGGCCGCAGGCAGCTGCAGATGGAAGGGGAATTTTCTGACGACGACGCAGACAGCAAGGCCAGCGACCTGAACGAGACCCCGCCGGCTCAAGCGGAGTAGAGCACAACGACCTCCTGTGGTCACCCAGCCCCACTGCTTCCTCCTCTCCAGCACCTCATTCTCCTTTAGCAATGTGGGGTCCAGTGAGCAATGCAAACACAACTACACTAACACTTCCACATACACACACTCAGACATAAGCTACCCTCAAACCTCCATTTCTATCCCCTCCCTACCAAGGGAGCATCGACTCTGCCTTATTCTAAATACAAGATGCTTCAAGACCGAGCGTACACACGCCAATTAGTGTTTCCTGCAACTGTAGCCTACAAAATACCACGCTCACGACAGAACACTATAGAAGTGCATTTCAAATGTCAAACTTTGCTTTGTGTACGTGAATATGCTCATTCATAAGAGCATGCAATGATCTAGTTTAATGATGTAAAACCATCAGCTAGCTAAGCAAACGTGACGGATTGGATCTTAGTTGTACAGTACAGTTCTCCAAATAGACACGGTCTGCAGATTTTGGATCAATCGAGATGCACGTGCTTGCTCGTTCGCTACAAGCCAACACTAAAAGAAAAAAAGTCCTGTGGCACTGGACCGGATCTGAAACGGACCAGAAAAGAAAAACTGTGAAAAAGCTGCTTGCTTCAGCATCTCATTAACATTCAAACACATGAAATAGTTCAAACACAAGAAATCCGGCGGGTGACGGCGTTTATCTTCATTTAACTCGAGATTTGTTGGATCTTATTTGGGAGATTTAGCTGACGTTTTAGGAATTTGGATGTAATTGCGAATCGCCTTTAACTGCACATTGTGAGAAAGCCATAATGGCCTCTTCAAATGGAAATATGAAGTATTCTGGATGCAAATGCACGTCAAGGTGAAGCATACATGACTTTACATATGTAATCTCTTTAGGTATTTTTTCCCCCATATATGTGACAGTATGATGGTACTTCTTAAATCCAGCTGCTCTGTTAGATTCACTACAAGTGAAACGTCCACCAAAGCAAGTTTATTGGAACTTGAAGGAAGATGTTTGAAATGGTCCAGACGTCACTGAGAGATCGCTGAAAGCAACTGGAAATATTGAACACGTTAACTCGCAGGCACTTTGCTGAATTTTCGTAACTCAAAACTGGAGTTATAGCTGTGGACGGGATGCTTTAAACACTAGTAGTATTAAGAGGATGAACGGAAAGCGTACTAACCTGTTCTACTGTTAGCATTTACTGACGTGTTTCTTAAAGTGCCTTAGACACTAATTAGAAAACATCCATGAAAGTATGTCAAATATCAGTAATGAAGAAACTAATATGAAGGCAAAACTGGCTGAAAGCAATTGAAATAAAATGCTATGTAACCCTTTTTTTTTGGTTGTTCTTTTGTATTTTACTCCGCTATGAATCATATCCAGTATATAGCTTTCGTATCCCTTGTATTCTTCTGAAGATCTGAGGGAAATCAGTGTTAATGTTGGTTTGATATAAAGAGGCCTCTGGCAGCGAGGAGCGAGTGTGATTTCATTTGGTTTAAAGCTTTATCATCCATGATCGAGTTACTATTATTGCAGTTATCATTATTATTGCTATATTATCACTTCTATTATTGGACTGGCTGTTGACAACCAGGCGTGACTACAAGCATTCAAATCAACACAACTGAAAGGGTGCCCAAACTTTTGCACAGCCTATTTTTCGCACTCAGATTTATTTCATACAACTCAATACTGCTGCACTAAGAATTTATGTCTGGAACGCATCACATTATTCAGCTTTCCCTATAAACCGAATGGCATATCACTACAATCGTTTCTTATAAAGAAAGAGCAAATAATTATACGGCCTCAGTGTTGCCCAAACGTTTGCATAAAACTGTATATAGTTATATATGCACGACTTATATTGTGCATATATATTTATATGCACTATACACAATTTCATGGGTTTATTTATTAAACTTAAGTGTAACCTATACACAAAATTACACCAAATTAATTTGTGCTACTCATTCATAGGGTCAAAATGGATATATTGACCTTATGACGTGACAAATAAATAATCTGATATATTAAAGCCTTGTAAACAAATACAGTCCCTCAGTTATACCAGTAACTTTACTACAACCATATCCGCCACTGTTTTTTATTGAATTCATTTTTAGCGCTTGTACTTGAAACAAAATGACAGCATTTAATTCCAGAATCAAGACAAAAATAATCTACCCAAATGAGAATTTTCAAGGTGAGCATCAGTTAAAATTACACCCACCCACCTCAGCATTTTTATAAAATAAAATAAAGCAATCTATAAAATTCCATTTTAAAAGTCAGTCCATCACAATATCCACAGAGACCACACATTTAGGATGTTACACTGAGCACACACAGACACCTGACCTGTTGCTTGTCAACTCTGAGTGAACGCTGTCATCTTTGGTGCCATTTCTCATTTGAACACAGTCATAAGATGCAGGTGGTGACACAGGATGAAATGAACACAGACATGAGGTCCAGTGAGGTAACAGGGCAGACCCATCGAACACACTCAGAAAAAACACACAAACACAACTAATGTCAAAAGTGGAGCTCTAAGCAATAGCTTACTTTGCATTGAAGCATTTACAGTCCTGCATAGTTATTCAAACTTACAAACTAAGGCGTTTTATTGAAAGTCTTGGGAGTTCTTGTACTGATATTAAGCAAAACTAAACCGAAAGTTCAATTAGGCCATAATCTCATCATTTTCTTCTATGAAAAGCTTTCACACATGATTCATTCATCCGTAAAAGAATGTTTTATTTTCTTTCACAAGGTCCAGTGAGATACGCAGCACCAAAGACAGCAAGACATCTGCACGCACAGATGAGAGGAACATCACATGTCCTGACCTCCAAAGAAAATATATCACTTAATATTAATGTGTATTTTATATACATACCCATTTTATTCTACTAATACACTTAAACATCATATGTCCCTGTCAAAAAATTATAAATAATTTACCCATATGTATTATTAACAGCTACTATTCTAACAGTCTGTAGAAGGAAACGGCTATCCCATCCCTTTAGGAGTTCAACAAAAATCTACTAAGAAAATAACTACAGGAATGCATGTTTCCAGCCGACATGAACTTAAATAGAAATGATGTTGCTTTGTTTCGTACTCCTCTCACTTCCTCTAGCTCTATGTCCACAGTGATTAAGGTCTTGTGTAAACATGTTGACAAACAAAAAAACAATTAAAATGCACCAAGCTCACTCCAATCATCCAGAACACTGATCGATTAAAAGCAGAATGATGTTAACTGAAGAAGGGTCATTAATGAAGTTCTGTCTGAATGAAAGCGCAATTGGTGTCCATCCACGAGAACCCGAAAACACCTGTCGCCAGCGCTGTCCACTTGTACATTCTGGTGGTGACCGTCAGTGGGACTTCCTCTTCGTGTCTCCCCCCTGACTTTGGTTTGCATCTGAAGAAAATCCAGACAAACTCGTGTCACGGTGCAGTTCAAATAAAGCAATAAGCCCGCGAAGCCGTGGTTTACAGTGAATTTATAACAGCTTAGGTACGACGCGGAGTGCCTAAAACCCCCTTAGCTGTTATAAATTCACTGTAAACCACGGCTTCACGTGGCTCATTGCTTTTATAAAACAGTTATTCCAAGTACGGTTTCACAAAATAAAACCGAGCAAATACACAGACGTAAACTAAGGTGTATGTTTGTAGAGTAATTTACAACGGCTTCGAACTTGGCTCAACCAATCAGAATCAAGGACCGGAACTCTCCGTTTTATAAGATTTCACGAAATCTGCATTTCAAATCACAGAACAAATGATCTGTTCCAAAACCCAGTGAGCAACATTTGCCAACGCAAAGGCTGTTCCAAACCACGAGCATGGCTTATAAAAGACCTCGTTTTGCCTCTAGTCTTTGTGGATAAAGCAATCCCAGAATACATTGTGACAAACTTGAGAAATGAGGTGGGATAATCAAAGTAATTCAGGTAGTGGTTTTATTTTACACTGAAAAGCATTTGACAGAAAATGGTTTGCTTTTAATAAAACAAATATACCAATTTCACTGTGAGAGTGTTATTTATAGGTTTGGCTTAATTAAAAAAAAATACTAGTGTGGGAGTAAACTACATTTTTGGCGATTTTGGAATGTGAAAAATAATATAACTGCATTGTCATAGCTGCTTTTGTGGAACAGTTTATAGTCTTGTGAACAAATGACTCTTCTGAACTTAGTCAAGTACACAAACTAGTTTAAATAGGTCTAATGACTGACCTAGAAGTCACTACTTTCATCAACAACACTTCACAATGTCATATTTGTTAACATGAGTTAAAGGGGTCATATGACGTTGATACCTCAGAAGGTAGCTGCCTATGTAGACAGCCATCAGCACACTAGGTTTTGGAACAGGGCTAATGTCACACTAATGAAGCACAAAATAAAGGACTGAAACATGCAGAGGAAGTAAAGGAACGCTCAACAACCTAAAACTACGAGAGAGCAACAGTGAGCTGGAGGGTTTCGGCAGCGTTTACCTGAGAACGCAAGCTGCAAGTGGGGAGGTAGAGCAACCTGAGACCCTGGCTGAAGACTCTTAAACAGATCTGGGGGACAGCAGGACAGATGGACAGAGGGAGAGATGGAAGAGTTCACAGCAATCCAGGAGCAAATGAGACGGCAGGAATGCAGCACCAAAACAGGATGCGAAGTGGAGAAAGAGGAAGAAAATTGAAGAAGAAAAAAACGGATTAGGGAGACACGGAAGAAGACTCGGACAAACACGATACACGCGAACATACAAGCAAAACCCCAGCACAGGAAACACGAGAGCCGCTGTGCTCATGTACACACTCACTCTGTGCCAGGGTGTATCCTGAGTTGGTAGCGGGTGAAGCTCCCATGTTGCTGCAGCCAGGAACTCCAGTGCCTGGAGGGTTAAAGTTGAGGAATGAGGGGAACTGGAAGGGCAGAGAAACAGGCACTAGACCCCCGAGCATCCCGAAACCCAGGGGGAGGGAAGGGGGCACTGAGCCCAAGAGATTACTTCCTGAAGCTGAAGACACCTGTGGGAAAGAGGGCTTGATTAATGGTTAGAAAGTACTGGGGGGGACATGTTGAAAAATAAATAAATAAATAAAATAAGTAGACATCTGAATGAACTGTTTGGCAGTACACAATAACAAAAACTATATTTGCAAGCAATTTTTCACAAGCAATGCCAACTTAGCAACTGTTTCTCAGACAAGCGGTCATTCATTTCGATTGTTAGGGTCTGTGTGTTTGAATAGTTGATTAAATTAAATGATTTTATGGAATTTATCCACAAATACAGTGAAATGTTGTTGACCGGTCACTTACAATACTTAAATAGGTACCCAGAGAGAATACATGTGGTATTTTTCCAAATCTTTAAAAAACATATGCCGATTAAACTACAGCACTATTCAAAATTTTGTGGTCAGTAAGATTTTTTCTTGTAAAGTCTTTATTATTTCAAATAAATGCTGTTCTTCTCTATTCAAATATTCCTGAAAAGTTAGTTTTCAAAAAAAAAAATATTTATATATATATATATATATATGAAGTCGCACAACTGTTCTCAACATTCATAAAAATAAGAAATGTTGAATATATGAAATAATATTAATATTATGACATTTTATGAATTCATATGAAATGTCATCACAAGAGCAATTTACATTTTAAAATATATTCAAACATGAAAGTTATTATAAATTGTAATTATTTCACACATACTGGTTTACTGTATTTTTGATCAATAAATGCAGTCTTGGTGACCATAAGAGACCACCCAAGGGGGGGGTTGTGGGGGTTTCCCCCTTGGTCCGTTGTCCGTTCCCACCGCAGCAGTTGCACCGCCCAGAGGTTCTGGGGGGAGGTCACTTGGTTAAAATCGCGTTCCGAGGTCGCGGGGGATGATCACCTAGGGGTATGGTGACTGCCATACGTAAACTCCGCCCTTGTGATCTACTTAGTGACTGACTACGGAAGTCGCTTTGCATAAAAACAGCTGCCAAACGCATTCATGTAAAGTGCTACTGCTCAGAGCTAGCAACCGCAGAAACGGGTTTAGCATGACCAAACATTTTGTATAAACAGGTTTGAAGTGAATTGATGTTGCTGGACTCACCTGTGACAGATGAGAGGAGACCGGAGGAGAGGGCAGGGTCATGGCTGATGCCCGACTCGTTGAAGACTTGGCACTCTGACTAGTCCCTCCCACTGGCCTTTGCCGCTGGCTGTGATTGGCTGATACTACTGAAGGGGAGGAGCTACCATCCTGGCATCTAGAAGACAGGGGTGTGGCAATCAGGGCGGTGCTGGTGGTGTTTGCGCCACCACTGGGCGGACTACTGGATTTGTGTCCACCTGCAAAACTGTAACTGGCCTGTCCTGATCCAGATTTGACTCCGGATCCCACTGCGGTTCCTTGCCCGGTAAACGGCGGCCTGAAGGCTGGAATCTTGGGGCTGTATTGGTGCGAGCTGGGGATCATTTGAGGCCTGGGGTGGGTGAGAGAGGGAGATAATGAAGGCGAAGGTGAGGATGAAGGAGGAGGAGTAGGGGCAGGGGGTCGCGGTGTGAGTTTGATGATGGGAGAGCTACTACTGTGGGAAGACTTGGTGAGCGTAGCCTGCATGGGCGTGATGAAGTTTGACTGGTTGTGTGGCAATGAGGGAGTCTTAGCCTGTGAGAGAAGGGTGGAAGGAGAGGAAGGGGTTGGAGGAGGAGACTGCTGAGGGCTCTTGGGGTTCATCTGTGAGGGATGAGTGTTCATACGAGGATGCTGGGAAACCACAGTACCGCCACCAGTAGTGGATTTGTTAGCGCAGTTTTTTGTTTGTCCAACAGGGGGCGGAGTCTGAACCAATTTCACTCCCATTGTCCCAAATGACCTCTGCTGTGGAGGCAAGAGGGGCGAGGTGGTAGGGGGCGGACGGGGTTTTGCAGACTGCGACGTGTTCATTCCTGAAATGCCAGCTCTGTGAGTGGGCGTTCCCAATAGTCTCTGCACAGGCCCCCCATCCTTTAGCATCCCAAAGGTCTCAATTCGCATGGAAGAGGAAGGAGACGAGGTGAGCGGAGAGGAGAGGGAAGAAGAGGTAGATAGAGTGCTCATATTTGCCATAGAGATTCCAGAAGACACCATTTTTGCTGAAAGGGTGGAATGCGACAGAGGAGAAGAATAGTGGCCGACTCCAGAAGAGGATCTGGGGACACCGGGAGAAGAGGCGGCAGGAACGCCATTGTTTGGCGTCAGACCCTTGGCAGCATTACTGAGGAGAGCGAGAGCTTGGGAAATGGAGTCCAGAGAGTTAGCAGCCAGATCCTCGTCCAGTGAATCTGAGAGGCAGATGGGTTCAGAGGGCGGTCTGCACGCTGGGGCAGGTAAGGCAGAGGTGGATCCAACACCTGGAGCGGGTCTCTGTGTCCAGCTGACATCCTGAAGCAGATCATGGGTAAAACAATGGCAAATAACAGAGCTTAGAAATCTAACCATAGTTCAACCGAAGGACAAAACTGATGAATCTGCACTGTGTTAGAGTATATGGATGTAATGGTGCAAAACTGGTTCAGTTTTACATACCGTCATTTTGGCAGCTTTTGGAGTTGGAACAATCCTTTTCTTGCCCCTGTTAAAAATTCAGCAATCACAATTAGGCATTAAAACCCATTCAACATGATTGGAGTAGTTTAAAGACCTGTTCACATCAAGACAAATATTTGGTGCAATGAAACATCGTAATTTAAATGTTAATGCATCTGTTCAGACGGTCAACATTTACATGGCTTCAATGCAACAGATTGCGATTAAATCTAACCAGCCAATAAGATTTGCACTTACGGTCACATGCCCAGAGCTGCTGCTGTTACACAAAACTACAACTTGGTGGCGCTCACAAAAAGGATTTTGCCAAGTGACAGTGAATCGTAGAGGAAGAATCCAGAACTGGCTATTTTTTCTCTTTACTTATGCATTTAGTGTTGTCTGATAAACACCACAGTGAATAAAAAAAATCTGAACGGCTGTTTGAAAACATGTAAAAAAATGTTTGACCTCCTTTCTTCTCTCTGATAAGTGAGTGTCAGAATCAGAAAGTTGCAGAGTGCTTTGTGCACAGGTGTATTTCTGCTTTTCTATAAGTTCCACCAACAGTCATTTTTGTGCTTTGGTCTGAACAGACAAGTCGCATACAAAAATGGTCAGATTTTCATTCCAAAAATTTGTGTTGATGTGAAGCCTTAAAAGACATTCTCCACATGATCCCAGTGCCCTACATCAAGTCTGTACCTTTTTAGACATCTGCTTTCCATTGCAAACCTTCCCTCTTTAACCTACGTAATCTACCGTCTACCCACTCCCTCTTATTATTTGTTCAGCTCTGTGCAGTCAAATTACTTCCAAGAACAAAATTACCAACATTGATTGCTCATTCTCTCAAAATCCACTTCCCGACTCCTTAATCCATGTGAAAAACAATAAGGAAGTGAAAATACATCAGGTTTTTACCACCCACCAAACACAAACAGGGCAGTGGAATTTTCTTCCTTATTTTTCATGCAGCACTGCCACAGAGATCAACTTAATTAAGTTACAGTGACAGCAACCCTAGAGTCATTATATTTTGTGTGTTAAAATTAAAATGAAGCCTATTTAAGCACCATAATTGTTGTATTTTGACACTAATTCCACACAAATTAAGCACATTTGGCCTAAAACTCAACATTGGCATAGAAAGCATTAAATTAAGTTAGAGGGACACCCTTCTAGACTAACATTAGGATATATGTGCTGTCCTCTAAGCTAGGACATATGAGAGACCACTCACAACCCCTATTTATATTTCAGAATGTCTGCCATTAACTGAAATTAGAAGAACGTCTATAGCATGAGTTGCTAGAAATATAACTTCTCAATGAAACATTAGAAAGTCACTTCAAGGGGTAAAATGAGTTATTGGGGAATGTATCACAATTTACAACAGTTCAAGTAAACGTAAGAACATAAATGAGTAAAAAGTATATTTACTAATGCACAATCCCATTACCAATCCTTATTTTGCTCCACATCATTCAGATTTTTATAAACCAGCCAGGAAAAAAAAGAGATATTCAGAACATTTGAATTAAACATTTCCTGTTTTTGGATACGTAAGTTCATAATTCATTAGTATGATCACTTGCATCCTTCATTGCTAATCTTTAGCCAAATAATTTACATTTTTTATACATAAGCAACGAGATATATTTTTAGACCAAGATATATTTGCATTGACGTTAAACTAATTGAATGTGTTATATAGAAAATTCACTTTGCATATTGTTTTTCTCAAGCACATCTGTTACACACAGGCTTGTGTTTATGATGGACCCTTTTTCAACCATCTTACTTCTCTCCCCACTATGTATGCAAACATCAGTGTAAATGCATATCAAGATGTTGATCTACTCACAGGCCAGTGAGGTGACCATGTACTGCCCGACTTTCCTTAAAAAGCATCCTGAGAAAAAAAAGAAGAAGAAAAAAAGGAAAATCTTTTAGTTACATGGTATCTTACTAGAAGAAGATAACGCTAGCACAAAGTCAAACACACACCTTGTCTGCATCCAGCCTTTGGGCCAGAGTGGCTTGACTTCATTCTCCATGAAGGCTTTGAGATAGTCCTCCACAGACAGAGAGCACTGCTCCAGCTCATAACAGCTCAGCTTCACACGCACCAGGTTACACAACAGAGTCCTGGGGAAGAACACATGCACCCTTTACTTCTTACACTGTCAGTCTATTGGTGGTTCTGCTTTATTATTCATGATTTAAACCTGCTAAAATCTAAACCTGAGTTTGTCATCCCATATGAACTTCTTCCTTGGTCCGACCACCCTCTTTCCTGGTTTCTCTTCATCATCATCCTCCGATCCATTCTTCTCTCCATTTTCTATCTGCTGCCTGTGACACACACACACACACGCACACAAAGTGAATCTCATAATCTCTCTATATATCCACGCCATCCGTTTGTCATTTTCCACAGTCCATTCCAATAATCTAAAGAAGCAAATCATGAAAACAGAAAGAGGCAGGAAGTTGGGAAAGTTTAAGACTTACTTAGCAGCAGCTTTTGCCATGCAGTCCATGTTATATCTGGCGATCTGCTCTGGCATCACGCTGCACACGGCTAGTTTGAGCTTTAACAAGGGTGTGTGCAGCCGGTCATCCTGATTAAAGAGAAAGACAACATGGAGACATTTGAGAGATCTGAGTTGTGTATCCACTGTTGGGAAGCTGATCTAAACTATTGCCTGTTTTACAGTCTTACTGCTGTAAGCTAGCCATAATTTAAAGTAGTTAAACTACAGTCAAGCTAAAATTGCACCAAATCTTAGCAGCATTTACAAGCTACTCACAAAAATATCTTGCTACATTAAAGTGGTTGAAAGGGCCAAAATCTTTTTAAATGATATATCATTTTTATATTTATATAATTTTTTTATTTTATAATGTAGTTTAGCAGCATTGCTACTTTTAGCTACTCCAACACTAGTATCATTAACAAGAACAAACATCTTTATGGTGTTAGCATAATATCTCGATACCCTATGGGAAAGTATCATACAGTCCTTCACCTGTATGTTGAGGCTGAGTTTTTTGAGTCGTTTTAGTAGCGCCTCCTTGTTGCAGGGCACAAAGGCCTCCAGGTGAGAGTACACCTCTGAACGCATGCCTGCCGGCTGCTCCTGAACCTGCAGCTCAATACTGAATGAGAAGAAAAATGATCAACGACAAGAACCAATAGACTAGGAGAAATTACCACCGAATCTAAAGTCATGGATGACAGCTGAATGAGAACACGCTGAGATTTTACTTACTCCAGCAAGATATTATTCATATCCAGAGTGAAGAATTTCTTTCTGCCTGCTTGATCAAATTGCCTCGATGCCTGAGTTCAAATAAATACAACAAAAATCAAGTTAGGCAGGAAAATGGTATTACTGTCAGAACATGAATTCCCTGAAGTGTTTTTAAAATGGGAAGTGGATTTGTGGGCGTATATTTGCTCACTTGCTCTCACTCTGTAACTATGCATTTACCTTCAGTGAAAACATTTAATGTATTACATCTTAAACTTAGATGTAATGCAGTTTATGTAACGGGTGACCATCACCAAAAATATCCAGAGGCCATTATTATTATAAATTCATCTGCTCTCACAGAACAAGCTGGAATAGATTTTAAACCACTTTTCTGATGGCTTTAAAGTCATATTTTCATACATTTTATTCTTAGGTCTACTTATAATAACATTAGTCATCATTCATTTCTAAGACTTTTATGTAAACGCCCCAACATTGCTTACCCCAACAATGTGTCTCTGAAACGGATACGATCAGAATGAAATCATCAGGGATCTTGTTAAAAATAAACTTCAGTCGGCTAACATTAGAGACATAAAGAGTGTTTTTTCAGTGTGGAACGAGTAGATGGATTTTTAAGTTCTTAAAGCCCCAAGTATGGTTTCGACTCATTTCAAAAGATCAAGACTTTGTTTTTTCATGACATGACCCTGTTTAACTGAAATGAGGGTCGCAGAAAAATCACAAAAGCATGACTCACAGCTCGAAGGTCTTCTATGCGCTTGATCAAGGGGGCTGGAAGACCATCGGGGAGAGGTGGAAAAGAGATGAGCCCGCCCTGCCCTCGATTCAGTCCCCCTCCTCCAATCTTTTGCCCCATTGTTGAACCCAACGCAACCTGCCCATTCTCTCTGCCTGAAGGGGGCATCTGGGGCCCTGCATCTAAAAAACTAAAGTCCAGGTCACACATGAGATTCTGAAGCTCGCTTTCATTGGCCGAACTAAGCAATGACATCATGCCGGGGTCAGCCGTCAGGTCAGCTAGTGAAAGGTCATTGTTGTTGGCATTGCCTTGGAGATGGGAGTTCTGCAGTAGGTTGTTAGAGTTGGGAGGGCTGGTGAGACCAGGGCCCGGATGAGAAGCACTGACATCTCGTTTCCGCATGTCTTCCTTCTCTCGTGTGAAGCGGCGGAGCATTGCAGCCAGACAGAGCGAATCCTTCATCAGTTTCTTCCTCTTCTTCTTCTCAGGACGATGAAGGCTCAGACCAGCCACTCTGTGAGCAAATATATGGCCATAAAAACTGAATTTCACTTTTTATTTTCTTTTTTTTCCTCACACTCTTTGGAAAGTCTGGCTTGCTTAACTTAACACACTTCACTTTTAAGAAAAGTAGCAATTTAAATTGCATGATTTATAAAAGTATCAGTTTCACTAAATGTATAAACACAAAAATAGATTCTCACCCTTGTTTGGCTACTTTGTTCTTCCTGGGTTTTTTCTCCTCTATACTGGTTCCATCTTTCTTCTTCCTTCTTTTTATTAGTGGTTCCTCTCCATCTCTCATCTACAATCAGAAAACACCATATTCCAAGACAAACGTCATAAACAGGGTCTTATGAAAAACAAACTCTTAAAGTGATAGTAATTCTGCTGTTACTCACCCTCATGTCATGCCAAACCCATAAGATTTTGTTAATCTTTGAAACACATGAGGATATTTTTATTGAATCTTGAGACATTTCTGTCACTACACTGAAAGACCATTCCATCAAAACTTAAAAAAAAGTTATAAAAACATTGTTAAAAAAAATTTGTGTATGATTACAGCAGTTTAATTCAAGTCTTCTAAAGAGACACAATCACTTTACATGATAAACGGATTTAATTTAGGCTTTTATTCACATATGACATGTCAAACAAGCACGTTTGAGCTTTTGTTACCATATCATGAGAATAGGGAAGTCCACACACCACAACTATAACAATATATGATACAGAGACAATATCAATGGAATCACTTTTAAAAACATTAAAGACAATGACAGCCAATCAGAATCCAGACGACTTTTAAATCGCTTAAGCATCTAAAGCGGCAGACAAAGCAACACATGCTTATAATAAACAGATCTGGCCTTTATTCAGTTTGTACTGGTGTTGCTGTAGACTCCATTGTCATGTTGTGGAGTAGTAGTAGTAGTATTATCACTGATATTATTAATAGCAACTTAAAATGACACCGCTGATCATGTGATCGCAACACGAAGGCACCCATGAGGTAGCAATCCCACTTAATCTAGAACAAAACAGCTTTTTCTACAAGACTGATACAAGTAGTCTTTATCACAAGTGAGTGTACACCATTTCCCAAAAATGACATTTATGTATTTATTAGCAAAACTTTTTTTAATTTGCTAAAGTGCATTTTTATCAAAAGCAAACCATCTGACAGATGTCATGTAGCCAGGGCTACATTCATAAAAGTTACATGAACAGCACTTCAATGCAGTTAGAAGCAACTCAGCTCTCCTTTAATGATTTTGTACGCACAGGGCCCTGGGGGCCACAAGGGTCAGGTACACAACAAAGTGCTCTAAAGTTTAAGAGCAAACAGGATAGAGATGCGTCATAAAAATTTAAATGCACTTCTCACTCACTCGTAACATATGTCACACTTGCCATTTCGAAAGAGATCCCCTGAAGAGGACTTTATTTTTGGACTCCACTGCTAACAGGCTAATGCAGACGCAAACCCAGCATAAACAAACAAGCGGTGGCTTTATAATAACAAGTAATGGTTTGGCTAACGTTACATACTCTTCTCGTACCTGTTGAGACTGGATGAGCTCGCTGTAGTTGAACTCGGCCGAGCGTTGCTCGTTAGGCTCAAACAGACACAGGTTGAGGCGCACTGTCTTCCCTTTGGGCTCTTCGCCGTCTCTCTTCTCGATCAAACCCCCGCGGTCACCCGCTGTCGTTACCCCGGTCCCCGTCATCTTCATCCTGCCCTCTCGGTCAAAACTCGTCTCGGCGGCTCCGTCCTCCTCCAGCCGCCGTCTCCTGCCCTCCGCGCCCGGACCGCCGGCCTGGGCCGACAGGGTGACAAACTGCACTTTTCTCGGTTCGGCCATTTGGATGTTCAGTGTTCTTGGACACTCAGTCACTCACTCACACTCAGTGGCGAGGCTCGACTTCGCCAAACAACTTGATTTAAAGAGCTTCACGCCGGATGGACGGGGCGTTCGGAGGCAGTACTGATGCTAGAGTGCCCTCCGCACCTTACGGGGTGCGCATGGGAAGGGATGGCCGGGTGAAAGTTGATTTTGGAGGCGCAAGCATCCTCGGTCGCTTCGCTCGGGGGACTCAAGAGCTCCGAACAGCCATCTTAGATGAGAGAGAGTAAATAAAAGAGCGGAGACGAGCGAACTGAGCCTGCGCGCACACGGACACCGGAAACGGCGTGCGCGACGGAGAGGTCGCCCTGGCCAATCAGAGGACGCCGCCGGTAGCAGCGCGTCCAATCAGAGGCGGCCCTGCAGGCAACAGACGCTCTAATGAGCAATTAGAGACGTTACAATGGAAAAAAGGATCCCCTTGAAATCGAACTAATACATAGAGATGGAACTAATAGAGGAGTTTTTCCACAAAATGCAGTTCAAGGTGTTTCCTAAGGGCGCTTATTATATGTGAAGAGGTTCTGTTGTTGGATTTAAATAGCCCAGGAAATGTAATGTAATATAATGGTAATACTTTACAATAAGGTCCCATTGGTTAACGTTAGTTAATGTATGAACTAATATAACTAATAATATGCAATACATTTGTCATAGTATTTATTAATCTTTGTCAACATTAATGAAAATACTACTGTTTGTTGTTAGTTCATTTTAGCTTAGGTCCATTAAATAATATTAACAGATACAACTTTTGATTTGAATAATGTATTAGTAAATGCTGAAATTAACAAAGAATGATAAAAGGATTTTCATTGTTAATTCATGTTAACAAATGGAACCTTATTGAAACATCATACCCAAGCTAGATTACTCTTCAAACAGATGAATCTTCATAGCACTCTATATAATTTTATAAAACCTATCAAATTAAAACACTTGCCGACATTTATTGTTCCCAATACAAAACAATAAAGGCTTATGTTGCCTCAAGTATGGAAACATATCAACTTTATTTGTTGCATTGTCCATCTCACAGAAACATTCATTGACATGGATATATTGCAAATATGCAAATATAAAAAAAGAAACGCTAAGTAAATGTTTTAGTGCGGCTGCACTTATTCTAACTTTATAAGAGCACTAGATGTTTTTTTTTCTTTCTAAGATGCATTCTGAACTGTTGTACTCATATTTTGTTGACAGATAAACAAGCATAAGGATACCATACAAAAAAATTAATAACATTTACAAAAAAATAAATGTCCAGGAAGAACTACTGCAGTGTGTTAGCTCATTTGTAAATGCGATCAGAGAGCCACTCTGTTGTCTTTGGCCCATTTCTTCATGATGCGGATGATGTACTCAACTTGTGGGTTGCCAGTGCTCCTCAACATCGGCAAAACCTCCTTCAGTGTCTCTCTGAAAACAAACAAAGCAAATCAAAAAAAGAAAATATAAATATAGAAAACATGACCAGAGGTCAAAAACTCATTTTCTTGAGAGTTAACGATGATTTAACAGAATTTTGCAAAACTTGAGTGAGCTACGGCAGTCTATTTTAACCCTATAATTTATTTATTTATTTTATTTATTTATTTCAAGTTTATTTGACAGGGACAATGCACATCAATAAATAACATGTACAATGTGCCAGAATTGAACTGATTGTAAAATGGTCACTCTAAAAATATAAAGAATTAATCAATACATAATACTTACATACTCCAAAATACATATAACATTCACACTATTCCTAAAAAAAACATCTGCTTAAAGGTTATACTACACACATAACCAACAAATCAATACCAGCTCACTCATACACACAATCCAACTGTCAAACAAAATGACAAACGATGTATCAATAATATCATAATATCAATATACAGACAAAGATAATGTAAGCATACAGACATGTAACAGTAGCCCTAATCATTCAATCAGTCCTAAACCAAACAACCTCATATACATAGTATAAAAACCTCAAACTAGTAGAGCAGAAAAGACAGGACAGCAGCAGAGTTTAGTTTATAAAATTAATGTTGACAATGCTGACTCTCAATTAACCACTTCTTTAAGTGAAACTTAAAGGAGGCATAAGTATTAAAATTTGTAATGTAAGTTGGGATGGAGTTCCACTCACGAGCAGCCCTAACTGAAAACACTGTTTGACTAAATGCACTTTTTCTTAAAGGGACTATGCAATCACCTCTTACTGCACTTCTCGTTAATCTGTAACCAGATGGTGCTACGTTTACAAACTGGTTCAATACAGGAGGAGCCAGTCCATGTCTGATTTTATACATAATCTAATTTTCCCAACTTAAAATATTGTATTTTTTAAAAATATCACAGTGATGATGGTGTATGGATTTCCTATCTAAAACTTTCAAGGTTTGTTTATATAAAGTGATAATTGGTTTGAGAGAAGTATTATTTGCTTGTGACCAGGTTGTCAAACCAAAGGTGATATGTGAGAAGATCATTGAATGCATAAACATCTTCGCAGCCTTAATTGACATGCAGTTACGGGCATATCTAAAATTTGCCAAGTTGAACTTAATGTGATTGAAAAACTTTCTTGATGTATGTTTTAAAAGTAAGATTGCTATCAATATATACACCCAGATATTTAAAATCTGAGACAACTTGTAGTCTCTCCCCATCTATAACTACATCTGACTGAAAAACATACATACAGTTTTTAATACATTTAGTTGTAAGCAATTATGTTTTAGCCATTCTGTGATCTTTAACATTGAACTTGTTAGCTGCTCAGCAGCTTGAGCTGCACTATTAGCATGTACAAAAACTACTGTGTCATCAGCAAACATCTGGATGTTGGAATTGAAACCAACATTTGGCAAATCATTTACATACAGAGAAAATAAAAGTGGGCCCAAGATTGAACCTTGTGGGACACCTGCTGACAAAGAAACAACACCTGATTGATAATTCTTCACTCTAACCAACTGAGACCGATGTGTTAAATATGATTCTACCCATTTAATGGTTTCATTCTAATGCCTACTGTATTATATTTGATACACAAATTTCTAAGGCCTCTAAATATGATCACAACTTTGCTGAAAAACCTGTTGTACTTAGTCTACCACATGTTTTCATTGTCTGATTAACAGTTTATACTCTTTTAGCAAGTAAAAAAAGTATAATTCTAAAACTGTCCACCTTCAGGTTGTGGTACACCTTCACACGTGTCTTTTTGTTGTAAAATCTTGCATATTTTTGCTCAGTGTTTTTCCTCCTTGAGTGTGACTTCCACATTCTCACTATATCATACTATATAAGCAATAGAAGCCTGATGTATAAAATATGATTCTCCAGAAAAAACACATGACATTTTTAAATAATATTTTGTCTAAAGGTTCAATAAACTGTTCCATATTTTTTTTTTTATTACTTTTATTTTATATGTCAGGCTTTACTGGGTTAAATGTAGAACTAATAAGAGTCTAATAAGGAATAATAAAGAATTTAGTTTAATAATCTGAACCAAATGATAATGGCTTTTAAATTGCATTTAACATATCATTCCACAGGCATATCATTGGCTCATACCTGGACTCTCGGCCTGCCAGTATGAGCTGGAAGATCCCAACACATGCTCCACGCTTCCCCTCCCAGTACTCAGGGTTTTGATCCAGTCTTTCTAGAGCATCAAACGCTTTGGCTGCATAATAAAACTGCCCCATCTAAAAAAAAGGTCACAGAATAAATATAAATAATCTATTGAAACCTTCAGAAGAAAACCTTGTGGGGGGATACAACAAGCATAATCACGGCTATAGAAACAACAGCCAGAAACTTCTGACAGTGGTCTGAAGAAACAGCAATGGTAAATGCTTATCCCATTATGGCTAGCACTCAACTACTTTTAACAGTGTCTTTATCATTATTAAAAAAAAATTAGTGACAAGCTAATATATGAATGAAAATATGTTTACAGTCACGACTGGCTAAATTACAATCATAATATTGCACCTTGTAGCAGTCATTTGCAATGAGCTGCAGGAGGCTGAAAGGGTCAGATGAGGTTTCCAGTCTCAGATAGAGCTCCCAGGCCTGTCGAGCCTTCTGATTCATAATGTCTAGAACAGAGGAGGGAGGATGACATAAGAGAGCGAGTGGTCGATGCGTCTACAGAAATGACTAATCAAAAAGAGTTGACATGTAAAAGACGCTTCCAAAGACAACTCAAGTCATTCATCTTCATTAAAGGCAAAACTGAACTTAACTAGCCTGTTGGCCATGGTTCAAAACTTTCAAAGAGATATAGGAGAACCTACAGCAGCGTGCCAACCAGCTCAGGTAAACGTAATCATTCTTGATCTTCTCATTCTGGATGAGCAGGAACACCTGTTCACATTAAATTCAGATTTAGTCATACTTGCAGATGGTTCCTAAATCATATTTACTGAACCACAGTTGGTCTGTACCTCTTCAGCCTCCCTGTAGTTTCCCAGGGCAGCCTTGGCCTGAGCGTAGTTAAAGCTGAATGTGTCGTCGTTGTAGAAGTAACTCTACAGGGAAACAAGATTGATATTTGATGCTGATGTTTTAATGCTTCTGCTTTTAGTCTAAACACTCTGATGTGTGTATTACCTTGACTGAGTTGAGATATATAAGCACATCCTCAAACTGTTTCAGCAGGAAGAAACAAGAGGCCATACTCTGCCTGCCCGGTATTGTGTCTTATATGAAAAAAGACAACAGAAAATAGATCATTAAATGTGTTTTACATGTCCAGGGCAAAGGAAAATGCATCCTCAGTGATGCTAATGTACAAAACCTACGTTTTATTTATGTGCTATGTAGCAAAACAGGTACAAAATGCCAACGGGTACCAAATGAACACTCGACAAGTACCTAGTAATGAAAAAAAAATCTTTGGTGAGTAAATAAAGCTATTTGCCAGTCAGCTGGTGACTCAAGTGGAAACTGCAATGTGTTTGATCACACACACACACACACACACACACATAGTATATATCTTTTTATTTTATTTTACAGAACAAAAGTAAAATTGCAATACTAACATTCATGGTTGTCCTAATTTCTCTCCTGTCAAACATTAAACCGCTGAGCTTTTACTTTTGCAGAAAACAAAAATAAAAGGGGAGACCTCAAAGCTTCTCTTTTGTTGACAACAGATTCTCATTACAAATTTGGCACGATGAAGTTTGTGCGGAGCAGCACTTACTGCAAACTGAGTCGCTCTGAGACACTGAAAACATCACCTGCTCACGTGTAAATGAACACAGTGCACACACACACACACACACACACACACACACACACACATAGTATATATCTTTTTATTTTATTTTACAGAACAAAAGTAAAATTGCAATACTAACATTCATGGTTGTCCTAATTTCTCTCCTGTCAAACATTAAACCGCTGAGCTTTTATTTTTGCAGAAAACAAAAATAAAAGGGGAGACCTCAAAGCTTCTCTTTTGTTGACAACAGATTCTCATTACAAATTTGGCACGATGAAGTTTGTGCGGAGCAGCACTTACTGCAAACTGAGTCGCTCTGAGACACTGAAAACATCACCTGCTCACGTGTAAATGAACACAGTGCCGCGCTTCCAGCACTCAGCGGAACTATATGAATCACACAAACGGCCTATTTAGCATTCAAAATTACGATTTTGCAATCCTGCATTAGGGACAAAAAATTTTTTTATTAAAACTATTTATAAAATGTATTTATAAAATAATATAACCATGTTAGGTGCAAGTTACATTTTGTAGTAAAATAGAAAGGACATATAATTGCGAGCCATCTTTTCAGTCTAGGATGATGCATAGTTTGTGTCAATGCCGCGCTTCCAGCACTCAGCGGAACTATATGAATCACACAAACGGCCTATTTAGCATTCAAAATTACGATTTTGCAATCCTGCATTAGGGACAAAAAATTTTTTTATTAAAACTATTTATAAAATGTATTTATAAAATAATATAACCATGTTAGGTGCAAGTTACATTTTGTAGTAAAATAGAAAGGACATATAATTGCGAGCCATCTTTTCAGTCTAGGATGATGCATAGTTTGTGTCAAGAAAACAAACTGTCACTGGCTCCCTTCCATACAGCACAGGGGCCCGGCTGCTGAACCAGCGCTAATATTGTTATTGTTAGCCTAAACAATGATATTACCGCATTCACTGGCTGAGCCTCCAACCAACTGGAAAAACTGCTGGGCAATTTTTAAATGGTCCCTCTGTAAAAATCCACAAACATAGAATGAGATAAGAGAACACAGATTTGGGAAACATGCACAAAGGCTTTGTTGTGTTTGAGAGGAAATACTACTTAATCTGATTTAAATAAACCTCACGAACCGATCCAATATCTTGTCCCAAAGCAGCATTCACCACCCCCTTCAGAATATATTCCTGTGAATTACACCAGAGGATAAAATGTTATCACTGGACCCAAAATGTATTTTAACAATAGATTGGATTATGGAAAATGGTGCTATATGGTGGAAAATATTATTTGATTAGTTTAGAATTGTCAGTCCATTCATACTGTTACTTCCAAGATGACCACAGCCCACACCAGCAGATAAAACAATTTCTAATCAGTTATAACCACTTACCAGTCACTGACAGTAAATAAGAATAAAAAAATAAGCATTAGGGTGGACTAGATACCTGGGGTGTGGTGGGCTCAAGGTCTTTGATGAGTTTGTAGGCCTCCTGAATGTCATCTAAATGAGAGATGGCAAAGTTAATAACAAACCTGATAAGCCAGTCTCACTGTATCTGCTAAAGACAAGAGGCTACGCCTGATCGACATACCTTGTCTGAGATAGTAGATGACCAGATTGAGTCTGGCCTCTGATATGACGTCAATCAGAGGAGGCAAAATCTGCAAGGCCCCCTCACCCCCACGAAACACAACCAGATTGTGCTGAATGAGCTCTTTAGCAAACTGAAACGAGCTTGAAGAGATATCTATCAGGTTCTTCAACTCCGTCTAAAGAGGGACAAAAAAAAAAAAAGGTTAAAGAACTTAAAACCATCTTCACACACTCATGCATTTTACCTAAATGCATGTACTTTCTTAATAAATGTCCCAGCTGTTATGGTGAACAAATTAGTCTGTTAATGTTTAATCTGATAACATTGTTTTTACATTACATAATCACATTTCATAATCCAATTTAATCACAAATGGATAAAATAAAGAGCTATGTTATTTTCCTACTGAATATTCTGTTTCACCCAGAAATACCCTACCATTCAAATGTTTTTTATTTTTAAACATTTTCATTTAGCAAGGACCCATTATATTGATCAAAAGTGACAGTAAGGACATTTGCATTGTTACACAAACATACACACACAAAAACTTCAAATACATCCTGATGAAATTTTTCACAGTCTCCATAAAAATATTAAGCGGCACAACAGTTTTCAACATTAATAATTGTAGTACGTTTCTTGAGCAGCAAATCATCATATTAGAATGGTTTCTGAAGGATCATGTGACACTGAAGATTGGAGTAATGATACTGAAAATTCAGCTTTGCATCACAGAAATAAATTACATTTCAAAATATATTTCACACTATTATTGTTTTTACTCTATTTTTGAACAAATAAACGCAGCCTTGGTCAGCACAAGATACTTTAAAAACAATCTTACCTATCCCAAACTTTTAAACAGTAGTGTAAAATTCATGTTGTTTTTAGGATCATAATAATCAACTTTCATCTTGTGTATTAGAAAACATAGTAGTATACCTGACCTCAGCAGCTTTGCCATTGTAGAGTCTGAAGTGGTTGCAGGCTTTGAGGTTAAGGGCGACAGTAGAGTCAGGAATACTCTGCAGATATACGGCCAACACTTCCTGTGACACGTCATAGTAATCCAGTTTATAGTAACACAGAGCCACATACACATTCAGGGCAAGAAAGTCTCTGTAGAATTGGAGAGAGACAAATCATTTGTCAATATTTCTGTTGTGCTGTATAAAGAATGTGTTGACTTTACATACAATAAAGACAGAATTAAAAGCAAAAATGTTTAATTAAAATTCAATTTTTTTATATTATTGCACAAATGCATTGTACTCAGAGGTTCATATGTTGATGTGATCATGACGCGGTTGGTTTTGTGGATTCTGAGGCACCTGTTCTGCAGTAAGATGCGTTTGTAGATATCAATGGCCTCTTGGTAATGAGAGCGCATATAGTGAATGGAAGCCAAGCTCAACTGGTCCTCAGTCACGTCCTCCAGGTTCTGATGGAAACCCATCAGCTTCTTTTCATCACTGAACTGCACAGAGAAAAACAAAGCAGATCATGTTATTATCAACTGATGCACTAGCATAATAATGAAACATTATGAAAACTCACCTTATGAGCTAAATGAAAGAGCAGGCGATTCTGAAGCTGAGTTTTTGGCCCTGAAAAAGACAGCGTGTTATAATTTTTGGATAATGTGCTACAAAAAAGTGTATATTTCTAATAAATGCTGTTCTTTTGAACTTTCTATTTATATAAGAATCCTAACAAAATGTAACATGGCTTCTATAAAAATATTATGTAGCACTGCTTTCAACATTGATCATAATAAGAAATGTTACTTAAAGGGGTCATATGATGCGATTTCAAGTTTTCCTTTCTCTTTGGAGTGTTACAAGCTGATTCTGCATAGATAAGATCCCTGAAGTTGCAAAGACTAAAGTCTCAAATCCAAAGAGATATTCTTTATAAAAGTTAAGAGTCAACCACTCCTACCTAAAACGGCTCGTTCTAACACGCCCCCACATGTCTATGTCACTATGTGGAAATATTAGCATAATGCCGCCCAATTGTGCACGCAAAGAAAGAAGGCGTGGTTTCAGGAACAGCAATCGTGTTGATGCAGCATGTCAGGGAGACGCTGTGTTTCAGTGCATAAGCAAAAGCACTTTATTTGGCCTATTCAAAAATCAGCTCAAAAAGAACGAATATCGGAAACAAGATTTTAAACAATCAAGTTTATCGCTTTCACAAGCATGGTTAACATTTCTCTTAAGACCAGTCTGCAGTGGTACCGCCCCACTCTCCGGCCTGAGCAGTGGGAGCAGCAGACCAATCCTCAGTAGCAGGCTGAGCACTCCAGTCCTCTGTTGAAGAGAGAGAAATTCTAAATGACACCAAATGTTACACTTCATTATTTTGCATTTTACATTTCATGCTACCAAGCAGGAAACCCTTACCTGCAAACACCTCAGCTGGTGCAGCTTTGGCAGGAGCTAAAGTTCAGAGGAGTTGATTAGTTCACACTAATTTCACACGTTCAGTTGAAAATGATCTAAATTGAATTTCCAAAACTGCACTGTGTATAACGTGGGTAAATAAGTCTACTAGAAGTAGCTTACCCTCAACGCCAGCTGGGAACTGCTGGATGGGCACAGAAGGAACCTGAACACCTTCAGACCAGTCAGCAACCTCAGGCTGGTTGAAGTCGGGCACAGGAGCGGTCCATTCACCCTGGAACTCCTCTTTACCAACAGCCTTCTCAGCTGCAGCCTGCTCTTCCTTCTCAATCTAGAGGTGGAAAGACAATCAGTGGCATAATTAGCACATCTGAACAATTAAAAGATGGCATAAAGTCATATGAAACAGATTTTGAATATTGGTTGGTTGTATTTAAATTAGCCATTTCAGCTTCAAGGGCTATTTACATGGCAGACACAGATTCATAATTTAACAAACAATACAAACATTTTATACATTTCAACTTAGAAAAAAATAATTGTATATTTACAACTCTATACATTCTTTAAATGTACACATGACAAAAAGTCAAGTATGGCCTATACAACTTTCTCATGTCTGGATTTAAAAGGGTAGATGCCTGTTTTTCACCCACAGGGTTCACAAATGTGAAATTCTCGGACTGATTCTGAATAGGTGGACGACGAGAAAAGTGATTAATATAAGAATATTCTGCATCATACCTCCTCAGGATCTCTGTAGAAGTACAGATCGGGCATGACCTCCCATGGGTGCTCCCTGGAGATGGTGCCCCTCATCCTCAGCACCTCTCTAGCCAACATCCACCACATCAAACCCACAGAGTGGGGACCCTAAAACACGACATCTAAAATCTTAAAACCACATAGAAAAGACCCCACTTGCATGAAGAGTTTAGTTTCTCATTCATACCTTGTTGTTGCATGGGATGGCAATGTCGACGTATCTCAGAGGGGAGTCTGTGTTGCAGAGAGCAATGGTTGGGATGTTGACGTAAGAGGCTTCGGTCAGCGGCTGGTGGTCAGCGCGAGGATCTGTCACGATCAGGAGGCGAGGCTCCCTGAAAGCAGCCTGAATCTGATTGGTGAAGGTTCCAGGAGTGAAACGACCAGCGAAGGTGGTGGCGCCAGAGGCAGAGGCAAACTTGAGCACAGCTCTCTGACAGGAAAGAATGGTGACCGTTAACATCACTAAGATCATCAACAGTCATGTTAACAAACACATCCTGTGCGAGTGAAGGAGTAAAATATTGTGGCTCAGGTTACTATCAAACCCCAGTCATGGGGCAAAACCCTCATGGTGTTAGCGAAATCCCGGCCAAGTCACTCTTGCACACTTCCAACACCCAAACACCGACAGCAGTGCCAGGTTTTTAATAATGTGCCTGGTAAAAAGCTCTTTAGATTTTCTAATGTGCTGCTGTCATTAACTAGTGTCAATCACCTGGCCAGTATTTCTGGAGGAGATAACGCAAACATCAGCTGGATTCTCGATGGCAACAATGGCACGAGCAGCCAAGAGCAGTTTCTCCCAGGTCTTCTTAAGGTTGATGATGTACACGCCTGCAGAAATGCAAACATCAGATCAGTTATAGCGGTTCCTAAACGGTCACAAACCATGAGAAACATTTCATCTCATACCAACTACATTTAACTATTGTGTAACAAATTAATATTGTGATTCATTTGTAGTTTTTATATACAAGTAGCAAAACTTGTTTCAAACATTAAACCCTCAAGTTTTTATTTTAGTCAAATTATTTTGGGTTGACCATGGGTTTAATGTTTCTTATTAAGTTTTTCTTCAAAAATGGTGAAAGTTATGTCTATGTGGATAAAGTGGTCCTGGTTCACCTGTTCCAAAATAATTAATTTTAATGACTGGCTAATAACTCTTTTCAGACTAACCAACTGAATGCCGTCCATTAAACGATACGGGTTCTAATATCATTTTCCATCACACCACAAAAGAAAACTGGCCAACCAATAAGATGCATGCTTTGCCACATGTCACTTTCTACTCATTGGTCTGAACAAACTACATACACAAATCTGACCAATGCTGGTGTGAACGGGTATTAAATCCCAGCTTTTTATATTTTATGATTTAATTCAGCTTTTAATGAACTTTCAAACCACCTGCAGTTTCCTCACAAATCCCTGTAAATTACAGTAAACTACAAAGATTGAAAAAGCACCAGAAAGGCATATCGCAGCCAAATCATCCATGTCTTGTTGCACTTCTTACCGTCACTCTTTCTCTTGTAGACGTACTGCTCCATCTGGAAGTCCAGGTTGGTTCCTCCCAGATGGGTTCCTGCTGCCAGGAACTTCAGCACATCCTCCTCCTTCATCTGAAGGACATCCAGACCTCCGGACATCGTGACCACTTTCCCTGCGTAACGAGTTTAGTGGGGGAGCTGGAAGGAGAAACAGGAGCGTACAGGAGGCTTAGTCGAGAAGAAATTATTCAAGGGACTAATGTAGCTCAGGTTGCTATCAAACCCCAGTCATAGGACGCATCAGCCCTGCTGGTGTTAGCGAAAACCCGGCTGGATCACTTTAGCACACTTCCGACACCTCCACACCGACACCAGTGCGAGGCTTTAACGGTGTGCAGTCATCATTAGCATCTACTCTACCGCTAACTCACTGAGGAAATGTGTAACTTATTTCAACAATCAACTAAAAGAGATATTAAAGGTACGTAGACATTTGATGTCAATCATAATACTCCTCGATGTTAAACATTCTTGAGTGACCACTGCGCGCGCTACACTGACTGTAGCAGTACACGCGCTTCCTTGCGCGAGATTACACGTTGCGACTCAGGCCTGCATATTTTAAGAGAACTGGCGCAAACTTCTAAAATTAACATGGTCATGCCTAGAGCTGATCCGTGCTGGTCGCTGAGGAAATATTTCAACTTCGCGCTGTGGCTCGCCAGATCGGCTTTCACCGTCGACGAAGCGGACTCCAGCCCGGGGTCGTCAGGTGTGGTTGCCGCAGGCATCATCACAATATGGTAAGGGACGTAACATTTCCGTCACACGCTTGAGGTATTCGGCCAATCACAACGCACTGGATAGCTGGCCAATCAGAGCACACCTTGCTTTTCAGACCGATGAGCTTTGTAAAAATCAACGTGTTTCAGAAAGGCGGGGCATAGAGGAGAAACAATAATGTACAGTATGTGGAAAATAATGTGTTTTTTTAACCTTAAACCACATAAACACATTTCATTACACCAAATACACAAAATAATGTTCTTTTTAGCAGCATCATATGACCCCTTTAAGTAAAACTAAAAACATACAATATTGTTACTTGAAATAAATAAACATTAACTTAAAATAATAAAACAATACAAAAAAACTTTTAAGATATGTTGCCAAGTCAACATTCCCCATTTTCATTTAGTGTGGCTTGATAAACTAAAACAAATATAACTAAACCAAAAATGATTTTAAGTTACATATACATAAAAAAGAAACGGATGAAAACACAAAAGAATTACTAAAACTTATACTAAAATGAAAATGGAAAAAAAATAAATAAATAACTATACTAGTATCTCGATTAAACTAACACTGGTACCAGTAGGCAATGTTAACAAAAATACATGATAAATAAATAATAAAAATGAAAAAACTAAATGATTAAATAAACTCTAAAATTTGAAATAAGTAAATGACATCATGTCATGCATTGTCTTGTATTTTGACCATGTAACGTCCATTAAATAGCAGCACAAGTCTAATGTCTGCATTCTGGTTCATGCTGGACATTATTATGATATCATCATTATTTCCTTAGGGAGCCTAGCTGGTTTTTGATTACTATGCTTGAGTCATTTTGCAGTTAGGTAAATAAAAGCTGACAGGAGACTGATGAGGTCTGATGTGTTATAACTACTGCTCCCCGCTTGATTTGTCACTGCAGTGCTTCTGTCCCTCTAGGTGTCCTCATACCTGACCCCCTTTACACTGTCTGGAGCCATCAGGCTGTCAGGGTTTGTACCATCAGCAGCACCCATCAGAGCACAGAATAACAGCAAAGCAAGACCATTTTGTGCCACGCTAACAGTATACTAGACCAGTGTTTTCTGTTTTTTTCCCCTAGCAAAAAGCACAAAAAGAGCATTATTGATTTTTATCCATCTTCACTATAGGGTGTTAAAACTCAGTGACAAATGCTAAAAATGGTTACAAAACCACCTGCATAAAACAACCGTTCACAACCATTTATAAAACAGGGCAGATTTATTCACATATTAAAACAGGCGCGACATTTGCATGTGCAAATATTGTCACATACAGACAAAATATCAACAATAATGGCATTAAGAAATGCTGAAGAGACAACACTGATTGTGTGTAGGCAAAATAGTATCTCCACAGTACAGCACAATAGCTTACATAGCAACATGTGACCAACACACACCACCCAGAATCAGTTTGAATGCAATCATCTTCACTGAATTTAAAGTGCTTTCACAAACTATATGCATGTAGTGTGCAGTGATCGAAACTTATGAACCCACTTAACTGATATAAAACTAGTGTATCACTAGGCTCCAAATGTCTTCCAAACATCATACTATGGGAACTGAACTGCATTCTGCAGCAGATAATCTTGCCGTGTCAGGAAGAAGCCAATCTAATTTTAATCAAGACAATTGAAAACAAATTGTTAATGGAATTGAATTTAGCAAACTAAATTAAATTATTACTTGAGTATAACAAATTCCTGAATTTAAATAACCAAAGTCATTTGACGTATAGTAATAATTCCTGTGGTACAATCAAAACCTTTAATTCCTATTGGGATCGACACGCTTAAATAAATCAAAATCTATTTCAAATCCATAAAGATTTTTGCATTGTGACATTATTTACATGACAATTAAGTATATTTCCCCTAAATTCCCATTGTAATGCATCCCTGCATTGAGTTTTTTCTCCCATTATTATCAAAGGTTTTATACTACAAATTACTGTAATTTGCTGAAAAAAAAAACACATTACTGGCAGGACAACAAAGACTACCATGGTGTTAATATTAAGTGTGTGTGTATATATATATAAATAAATTCACATTAAAGTAATGACAAATTGGGGAGAAAATGTGCCTAACAGGAATTAAATTAATGTTACAATGCCAAAAATCCTAATGGTTCTCATACGCTTCATTTTCTCTACTAATTTTAAGGGTGAACAACCACCCGGACATGTTTTTAACAGACTTCCTAAAATTGCCCCTATGGGTCATGTTGAAATAACATTACACTGTTGTGTTCACACCGAGCACCACCGATGACACTATGGCATCTTACAGTGGTTTTACACAAAATGTCAATACGACAAAAAAGTCCATTAAAATTATCCGACAACATGTTTGCGAATACGATAAATTAGGTATTGCAATTTCTCACCGATACGTTCCACTTCAAACATTGTTTCTCAGGAACAATAACACTTGTTCTCCCCGGTTTCTTTAATAAATATTAAATGTTTCTCCAGGTCTATATCTTATGAAGTCTCATCCAATCCAAATCTTGGCTTTGTCTGTGCCAAGGAGTGAGCGTTCAAGGAAAAAAGAAATAAACACTGAAATGCACTGATGAACCCATCCAGTCATACAGCACAGGAAATCAGTAGAACAGCACAAATCATCGCATAGAGACGAGCATTTATAGTCGGAAAAGAGTATGTTGGTGAGACAGTAATGTTTTGTCAGTTGAGTTTCTCAGCCCTAGAGAAATTCGGTCTGATTGTCGGAGTGCTGGAGTATTATGTCAACATGTCTTTGTAACACCAGTCTCTTGGACACCCACTAAGCCTCATCCTCGACTAAAAAGGATTTAGGCTTAAACTGCCTCCCCAGCGTTCGGAGACCTATCCTGGAAGAAGTGCTGCTTCAGCGAGTAAAATGTGCTGAAGTAGATCCCTACACCAGGGATACAGCGCATGAACGACTGTAGGGGACAAAGAGAGATAAACAGTGAGACAGATGAACAGTGAAACTATTTGATATACAAAAAAGAAAAAAAACCAGTGATGCACTGAAATTTTGTCAACCAGTTCAGTTCAAGCGGCAGCATGGAGATGAATCAAACATCTCTTACTTTTTACTACTAGTTGTAGCACAAAATAAACATGAATGAACATCAGAAGGTATTTTGAAACAAACATCTTACTGAAATACATCTTGTCTCATGTAACTGTTGAACCAATGTTTCAACCAAGAAAACAGCTTGTAAAAAATAATGTCAGGCAATGCTACATTTACCTCAGGAATGCAATTCAATGTCCATAAACTTGAGTCAACTAAAAAAAAAAAAAAATTCTATTGAGAAGCATTTTGCTAAATATAGTTGCTTCCTTTGCTCCTGTAAACAAAACAATGGTTCTCGCGAGACTGATTGAATATCAACAGCCATTCAATGCCATTATAAAGCTTGGAAGAGCCAGGACATTTTTTAATATAACTCTGATTGTATTTGTCTGAAAGAAGAAAGTCAGATACTGTACATCTAGGATGGTTTGAGGGTATAAGTAAATCATGGGGTAATTTTAATTTTTGGGTGAACTATCCCTTTAATGTTAGTCTACAGAATTTGTATCGGTTTTATCATCCACTGACAAAAATCCCAACTACATTTGTTCAAATCACTAAATTTAAGCATGCTGTAACAAACACCACTAACTATTAGCAATCGGTACTGGGCAAAACTGGGATATAACGTTGCTTCCCTTGGGATTAAAGTTGTTTTAATCTATGACACGCTAAATTAGCAGTTTGCCAGAAGAACAATAGAAATGATTATGTATATTAACTATGAAAGACATGTTTATTATCTGTCAGTCAAGTCCAACTAAGACTTGACATCTAATACCAGACAAAGATCAGGGCAGAAGGACAGCAGCCTAACGGCAGGCTCATGTCTAGACATGGTCAGTGAGGGTCACAGCAGGCATGTCGGTTGGTGGCGTCTTACCCTGGGTGCATGTTGTTCTGCAGGGTCTGCAGTCTGGTCTTCACCAGATCCAACGGCTGGAACAGCAGAGTGGAGCAGGTGCCGCTGAGAGAGCCGCACATGAAGGCCTTCAGGGCAGGATGAGACTGAGAGAACAAACCCAGAAAGACAGAATTTGAGAAAACAAGGACTGAAGGAGAAGACAAAGGTTAAATGTTAGAAAAGAGTATGAATGGATGAATATAAAATGTGGGGTGACAGCAGAGGAGAAGTCAAATAATTGTCGGATGACAATTGGAATGGAACAGAAAGATCAGATGATGAAACTACAGTTTAAGAGAATACAATTAAGGCAGCGCTTTAAAAGGGGCCATATTCAACATTTTATTTTCCTTAAGACCACTTATAATTTGTCCAAATTTGTTGCACCAAAAACAGTCATAGTTTAGATTTATGACCATCTTTCACCCCCTCAGAATAAAACAGGTTGTTTTTGTTACTGTTCATTTAAAGATGAAATGTGTAATTCCTGAAACAGTAGGGCTGGGTATCAATACAGATTTGATTCTCATTTACAAGCTCGATCCAGCTCATTTGAGTATATTCCAACGGTGCATTTTTTGCTCACATATGAAAGAAATCTCTCATCGAATCCTGTAAATTATACAAGACAGTGTTTCAGACTAATTCAAACAGCGACTTTATAGACATCTACTGTATATGTTAAACCTGTCTAATGAATGACTAACCTCCACAATTCACAATGTTGTACTACCCTGTCCTCATTAATATTATATTTTGATATGAATTATAATTATGAATATTTATATTTATTATATGTTTTACTCACTGCTGTATGGCTGATTGTATGTCTACATCTTTCTTTGTTGAGATAATAAAGAAGTCAAAAATTTGATAAAAACCTTAAGGGCCTTCACTACAAAACACCATGTGTGCCACACATGACCTGAAAAGTGAAGCTAAAACATTTTGATCGGCTGGCTGCAGTCATAAACCCCACCCTCTTCATGTAAATGAATGGGATATGAGCCAAACTAAATAATCAAATTACACTTCAAATTAATTTTTCCCAAAGATGGTTTCCATCATTTTAGGTAGTTCTTGTCAAGCTAACATATGTTCAAGTGTTCGTTTTTCAAATAAGTTTGGTTTTAGTTAGTTATTTGCTATAAAAACAGGGTGTGGTGTCTGACATGATTGTGAACTTGCGATTGGGTCTGCGGGAGTTTGATACCATGGCTCCACCTCACAATCACTACTGTGCAGCCTCAGGCTCTAAATTACGTCATTTTCACAGGATGACAGCAGCCATACGGAGATGTTTTGGCTTCACTTTTTAATAGTGGAAGGAACTAATCGTCCATCTTTTTTTACAATCTATGTAAAACACCAAAATAAAAGTTTGGTTTAACTTGAATATATGACCAAAAAATGCAATATTGTGTTGTAGAGGGATTTTTATTACAATTAAAAACTAATTTAAATTTTTTTTTAATTCAATTGATTAGACAAGCTTTCTGATTACTAAAATGTCATTAATCCTTTACAACAAAATCAGGGGGGGGAAAAACACAGAATTTTGTAAAGTAGAATAAATATAAAACAAAATGAAACGCATTGAATAAAATAAAACAGAATTGTAAAAAATTAAAATACACTTCATATGACTGAAACATGGGCATTCATATGCTAATGTAATCAAGGAGGCCGTGATGTCAAAACCATGATGATTCCTGCAAATGAACAACATATTTTTGCAGCTTGGTTTTCATTAAAGGGGTCATATGATGTGATCACGGCCCCACATGTCTACGTCACTATGTGGGAAGATTTGCATAACGTCGCCCAAATGTTCACGCAAAGAAAGAAGGCGTAACTTTTATTCTCGCTGTAGTTTTGTTGCTTCCGCCGCCATGTTGTGGAGACGCTGTGTGTTTCGTTGTGAAAGCGAAACTACTTTGTTTGGCCTTCCAAAAGAGGACACGACTAGATATCAGTGGTTAAGTTGTATTTACAACACTGTTCTGGAACAGTTCAACCCAAATATTCAGATGTGTGCAGTGCATTTTACGGAGGACGAGGACTGTTTCCTGGGAGAGTAGCCTACAATGTCGGTGTCGGTTTCAATAAAGTGGGGCAATTCCAACTTTGCAAGGACAGTCTGACGCTTCTGACTCACAGCCTGCAAGTACGTATTCATACGTAAAGGATTTGCCACTGATGATTCAACCGCGAGTTTTGATCAGTGTAGAGTAGCGCTTGTTGTTTGTCGTTTCTCTGATCACAAATGCAGACATGGTTTTATGTTTACGCAGCGCAATACGCAAAGCTTAAAAAGACAGCATAAGTCATTATAATTAGTAATTATGTCCCCACTGGATGCAACAAATGCCTTGTTTATAAGGGGTTTTATTGTTTTTGTCTTGTCGTGCCGGGACAGGGCATCACAGTATGGTAAGGGGCATAACATTTCCGTCACACGCTTGAGGCATTCGGCCAATCACAATGCACTGGATAGCTGGCCAATCAGCATACACCTCGCTTTTTGGACCGATGAGCTTAGTAAAAATCAACACGTTTCAGAAAGGTGGGGCATAGAGGAGCAACAATAATGCACATTATGTGGAAAATTATGTGTTTTTTTAAACCTTAAACCGCATAAACACATTGCATTACACCAAATACACAAAATAATGTTCTTTTTAGCAACGTCATCTGACCCCTTTAACATTCTGGGTGGACTAGGAAGGGAGCTCTGCACTGTAAAAGTTTTATTTCATAAGAGCAGAATAATTCTGTTTTCCAAGTTATGCCCCCTTTAACAGGCTTGGGTACAAAAACAAAAGCCTTCTTTTTCTCAACACAACAGTCACCATCTACTGCAAGAGCACTAAAAACACCACAGTGACCAAAACTGACACCCCAGATAAAAGGATATTCTCACGCACTGAATATCCATCCAACAGTTAGAGCCCTGCATGGACACCAAACCTAACAATACATTTATGCAATGTACATTTATGCAAATAAAAAAAAAGTAATATGTTGTTTGTGCATGACCACACGTACACATGAACGCACTTCAAAACTGACCATAATAGAGAATCACACCCAACACAGATGCACAGGCACACACTGACACCGTCAGCAACATCACATGCACACTGACATGCACATCAAGACTCGAGCACTGCCGACAGGCTACCCAGAGTGCTGAGATTAATTTAGAAGCATGAAAACAGCAAGACACAAGTGATGGGCAGACGCACACACAACTGCGCAGAAACACACAAAAACACACACTAGAGAAACATACAGTGAGCCACTGACTAATCTGCCCTACCTTTCCCAGGCTGCTGGCAGATTTGGGCTGAGGGTCCTTTTTCTCTTGCATCTCTCTCTCTCTCTCTCTCACTCACTCTTTCTGCTGCCACTAACAGCACATGACAGAGTAAGCCCCTATCTCTCTCCTCTCAACCACAATGCCCACAAATCTCTCCTTAACCCCCTCCCACCCAACAACAAGAGATTCAACGGCTTAATCCACAAGCTTCCATGCTTGCCGATCTGAGCGCTGGTTTTCCGCACTCCTTATCGCACATCCGTGGTTTCAGTCCCTCGGTTTCGTTTGTGTTCCAGATCAAGTGCTTTCAGCACAGTGTGAGTCATACAGTTGCCGAAGGCATATGTATATGTGCATGAGCGTGTGCTTGTGTGGATGTGACACAGGAAAAGTGGGTCATACATTGATTGGATGCATATATCCTATTATTCCAACATAGGTTCAGCCGGGTTGCACAACAAAGAAAAACAATGATTTTCGGATCTTCATATGCCTTTTACACATAAAAATGGATTTGTGCTGGGCAAAACAGTGTCGTCAAAACATATTCACACTCCCTCAGACTTCTATTACAAATAAGACATGAAAAAATTAAATATGATTGCTTTTCTCTGCTAGTGATAGACAGAAATTCAAAAAACATTTAAGCTGATATTAATGTTTTGCAGTCGCAAAGAAAGAAGGCGTAACTTTTATTCTCGCTGTAGTATTGTTGCTTCCGCCGCCTTGTTGTGGAGACGCTGTGTGTTTCATTGTGAAAGCGAAACTACTTTGTTTGGCCTTCCAAAAGAGGACACGACTAGATATCAGTGGTTAAGTTGTATTTACAACACTGTTCTGGAACAGTTCAACCCAAATATTCAGATGTGTGCAGTGCATTTTACGGAGGACGAGGACTGTTTCCTGGGAGAGTAGCCTACAATGTCGGTGTCGGTTTCAATAAAGTGGGGCAATTCCAACTTTGCAAGGACAGTCTGACGCTTCTGACTCACAGCCTGCAAGTACGTATTCATACGTAAAGGATTTGCCACTGATGATTCAACCGCGAGTTTTGATCAGTGTAGAGTAGCGCTTGTTGTTTGTCGTTTCTCTGATCACAAATGCAGACATGGTTTTATGTTTACGCAGCGCAATACGCAAAGCTTAAAAAGACAGCATAAGTCATTATAATTAGTAATTATGTCCCCACTGGATGCAACAAATGCCTTGTTTATAAGGGGTTTTATTGTTTTTGTCTTGTCGTGCCGGGACAGGGCATCACAGTATGGTAAGGGGCATAACATTTCCGTCACACGCTTGAGGCATTCGGCCAATCACAATGCACTGGATAGCTGGCCAATCAGCATACACCTCGCTTTTTGGACCGATGAGCTTAGTAAAAATCAACACGTTTCAGAAAGGTGGGGCATAGAGGAGCAACAATAATGCACATTATGTGGAAAATTATGTGTTTTTTTAAACCTTAAACCGCATAAACACATTGCATTACACCAAATACACAAAATAATGTTCTTTTTAGCAACGTCATCTGACCCCTTTAACATTCTGGGTGGACTAGGAAGGGAGCTCTGCACTGTAAAAGTTTTATTTCATAAGAGCAGAATAATTCTGTTTTCCAAGTTATGCCCCCTTTAACAGGCTTGGGTACAAAAACAAAAGCCTTCTTTTTCTCAACACAACAGTCACCATCTACTGCAAGAGCACTAAAAACACCACAGTGACCAAAACTGACACCCCAGATAAAAGGATATTCTCACGCACTGAATATCCATCCAACAGTTAGAGCCCTGCATGGACACCAAACCTAACAATACATTTATGCAATGTACATTTATGCAAATAAAAAAAAAGTAATATGTTGTTTGTGCATGACCACACGTACACATGAACGCACTTCAAAACTGACCATAATAGAGAATCACACCCAACACAGATGCACAGGCACACACTGACACCGTCAGCAACATCACATGCACACTGACATGCACATCAAGACTCGAGCACTGCCGACAGGCTACCCAGAGTGCTGAGATTAATTTAGAAGCATGAAAACAGCAAGACACAAGTGATGGGCAGACGCACACACAACTGCGCAGAAACACACAAAAACACACACTAGAGAAATGTACAGTGAGCCACTGACTAATCTGCCCTACCTTTCCCAGGCTGCTGGCAGATTTGGGCTGAGGGTCCTTTTTCTCTTGCATCTCTCTCTCTCTCTCTCACTCACGCTTTCTGCTGCCGCTAACAGCACATGACAGAGTAAGCCCCCATCTCTCTCCTCTCAAACACAATGCCCACAAATCTCTCTTTAACCCCCTCCCACCCAACAGCAGGAGATTCAACAGCTTAATTTTCAAGCTTCCGTGCTTGCTGATCTCGGCACTGGTTTTCCGCACTCCTTATCGCACCTAAACGCACATCCGTGGTTTCAGTCCCCCTGTTTGTGTTCCAAATCAAGTGCTTTCAGACCAGTGTGAGTCATGCAGTTGCTGAAGGCATATGTACAGTATATGCGTGTGCGTGTGTGGATGTGACAGAGGAAATGTGGGTCATACATTGGATGCATAGCCTATATCAAATTATTCCAACATAGGTTCAGCCGGGAAGCACAACAAAGAAAATTACTTTCGGATCTTTATATGCCTTTTACACATAAAAAAGGTTTTGTGCTGAGAAAAACAGTGTCACCAAAACATACACACCCTCAGCCTTCCAATACAAATAAGAAATTAAAAATAATAAGACCTAATTGCTTTTCTCTACTAGTGAAAGACTGAAATGTCAGGCAAAACAATAATTCGCCAGGTATTTGGCCCTTTTGAGACAACCAGCATCAGCCGGTGACTATGACTGATTGGTCAGTAAACACATGTAGAAGTTTTTTCATCAGTTAAAATATACAACATTCTTAATGGAACATGCACATTCACGTTTTCAAATATTTTAGTGAATTCTACGTTGATATTGTGTCAAATAAGTGCTCATTTAATTTCAGCAACTTTGTGTATGTTTCTTTGAGTATCAGTGAATTTTATTATGTCTTGACATTGTGTGTTATATTGGACAACCACTAATCTCTTCCCAAAAGAATGTCACACATTCAAGCTGATGTTAATGTTTAGTTATATCAGAAAAGTGTGACACTGGCTTTTTAATAGCCAGTCAGGTTAAGTAGCTCAATCTCAGGCCATTCTAATATATTCACCTTCAAGTTATTCGACATGTCATGTTTAACCTCAGTAAAACAAATCTACATTAAAGCACACATTCTTAGCACCAACTCACCAGGGCAACCTCCATTGCAGATGGAGAGGATGATGATGAAGCTTGCACAGAGGAAGAGCTCAACTCCCTCCCTTTTATCTGTTCTATGGCCGTTGTGATGTCTGAGACGTCAAAGCTTTGATTCCAGACTGTATGAGGGAGAAATTAATTTAATACCCAACCTGATTAAGTAAGCACTGCTACCATCACACGAGAGAGATGTAAGTTATATTTAATGTTTAACGTACCTGTCTCTTAAGGACCGAAGAGGAAGAGTGAATGAGGACTGATCTTCATCATGATTCTCGCTCTTTCTGTCACTTTACGCACAGCTGTCAACAGTACATACGGAGCCGACTACTTTAAACACAGAAACCACCATTTAATTATTAAAACATTACATAAACGTAGAAATCTGCAGCATACCACAGAATTAAATGTCAAACAAAAACAAACGACTAAAGCAGGTCTTAGTAAAAGCTAATGCGAATTTCTCTGGCCCGGCATAACGTTAACGTTACTTCAAATATCCTACAACTGCTAACAACTGATAATTGTTTTCTTCGCAAAATACAAAACTGACAATAAACACATTGGAAAATATTGGAAATAAGGTGGTGCAATACACGTCAGCTGATTTCTGTCAGTTAGCCGGTAATGCTAACAGTCACCTCTCACTCCATCACAAGCCATACACTTTACCTTACACACAGTTGTTCCGTTCTCCAGTATCTCCAAAAAAAATAGTTTCAGGCAAACAATGTAACTTATGCTAAATTGGCGTACACAAGAGTTTTCAACACCACATTCCTGCGCGGACACCGTGAGCAGTGAGTTTGGAGTTACGCTTGCGCGAGAAAGTTGTGCGCTGTTTGCGTAACTTACTAACGTTAGATGCGTAGTCTGCAGAACAACGGGCAAGAACCGGTTTCAGCTCGATTATTCCAGCGGTGCCGGTTACACGTGCTCGGGGGAGAGACACTTGATGCCCCCCACTGGAGCTCTGAGGTAAATGTCTTCCCAAACACGGAATTTATTTAACACTGCTGTCATCTCTCGTGATAAATTGGGCATCCTTTCGAAATAAACGAAAGTTAAGCCGTGGTTTAAAAAATACGTATTTTTGAATTGCCTCTAAAGCCCCGTTCACACCAAGAACGATAACTATAAAGATAACGATAAAGTTCTAAAAATCGTTCTAAATATTAAAGAATAGCATAGTTCACACCACAACTATAACGATAAGGATACAGAGGAACGATATCGTTGTGATCACTTTCAAAACGATTTAAAAAAAAAATTTTTTTTTTATTTAAATGCTGTTTCAACACGGGGGAAAAAACAGATGTATGATTGTTAAAATGTGCCTTAAGTGTTTGTATTCGAATAATGTTTAATAATAATAATAAAAAAAAAACTTTCAAAACGATTTAAAAAAAAAAAATTTTTTTATTTAAATGCTGTTTCAACACGGGGGAAAAAACAGATGTATGATTGTTAAAATATGCCTTAAGTGTTTGTATTCGAATAATGTTTAATAATAATAATAAAAAAAAAACTTTCAAAACGATTTTTTTCCAGCTGATGGACGATAAAACACTGACAGCCAATCAGAATCCATCCTGCTGTAACGAGCTCGAGGATTTAAAGCGGCAGACGCGCGTGCGCTTAGAATAAACAGACGATATCGTTCGCTGGTGTGGACGCTAATATCGTTATCTTTATAGTTATCGTTCTTGGTGTGAACGGGGCTTTAGAGCTCGTTGTAGTGTCAGAAGTATAGACTGTAAAAACAGGTCATAAGGCGGCGCTGTTGCGCGTTCTTGACACTATTGCGCAACAGCGCTTCAGACTGATTCTCAATTAATAAATAGCGCATATTTATGCCAAGTGATTGCTTTTGAACTAGAGTTGATGAATTATGACAATGTCTACTTTATGACCTTTATATACGTTTTAGACTGTGGTAAGAATGCATAGTTTCTCTCTCATCTGAAGGTTCAGCCTGCAATAGTATAGACATTTCAAAATAAGAGTCCCTGTGTATTTCGGGCTTGTTTATAATTTAAAGTCAACACGTTAAGTGTTTTTTCCCCCCTGAGCATTATTGGTATTTTGGTTACACAAATTAAATTGTAATTTAATTTAATTTCCATTTAATTCATAGTAAACTGTTGTAATTTCTGGCTGGGATGCTTTCCCACAGAAAGAACATTATTTGACATTCAATATATAGATTTAACTAGGATCAGTAAAATCTGTGTCCCATTCATCGAGAGACACTATATGACAAATGCTGTAATTTTGCATAATTTACAACACATAATAGGAGTATGTAATAGTAGCCCATGTTATTGAAATGAATTTCAATAAATAAAAATAGTTAAGAATCACACAATATTTGTCACATGTAGTAGACCATTTTTGTGCTGTGGGTAATAGGAGGATTTTCCACCTGGCTACCACTGCAAGTATATTTCAAACCTGTGGGAAGCACTGCAACCATTTTATTATAAATATTTTATGACTAAAACTCTATAAAAGGCACAATCTACAGTCTTTTAGTTATCAGCACAGATCTTTAACCATTTGATCACTTTATTCATTAAGAAAATCTTGTCTATAATGAAATACTGCGGTGTTCGGAAGAATTAGACGAAAAATTGAGGGTACAAAAAACAAAGCTTTAATCAGATGCACTGAAACTGTATGTGACATTAAAAGCGAGAGGAAAATATCTTTTAAATTGTTCCAAATACAGTCAGTCCACTACCATTGCACTGAAGTTTGACAATTTATAGGGCCATCAAGATTCTCCAAATAGAGGGTTAGAAACATACAGCAGGAAAAATATATCGTATAATGTATTATGCAGACAAATGCTGTATGACAGATTAATCATTTTAGCAAACATTTAAAATTGAATACAAAAAAATAAAAGGTAGAGTACAAATGCAAACTTTTACACACCCCACCACCTAAAGTTTGAACTTCAAAAACATCAAGAAAAAACAAACTTAGTTTGCAGTAATACGTGGTGTACAAATCCTGAGAACTCTCAAACTTTAATATTTTATGTAATTAAGGCAAACAGTCTTAATTTTAAAAGAGTAGAAGAGGTGGAAAGGTGCCAGTGAATCTATTAGGAAAAAGGCTTAATTGGTGCTGAAGTGCTCTTGAAACAAAATAACTAAGATTAATCTCTTTGGCTGATGGGTAATATTCCTGCAAATCCTGGCTCATTTATTATTATTATTGAATAAGGAAATTTCTTCCCATTATAAAAATTTTAATTTACTTTGAAAATGGATGAATACTTTGTCTTCCATGTAAAATATAAATAGCCAATATTTATTCAAATGCATTGTAAGGCAGTTATCAACAGGGCAAGACAAATTACGCCAAATGAACTTTCAGTTTCACTGGAAAGATAAAGTTTGATAAGTGGCCAAATGAAAGACTTTTCTTCATCCTAAATCTCATTTATTATTATTATTGAATAAGGAAATTTCTTCCCATTATAAAAATTTAAATTTACTTTGAAAATGGATGAATACTTTGTCTTCCATGTAAAATATAAATAGCCAATATTTATTCAAATGCATTGTAAGGCAGTTATCAACAGGGCAAGACAAATTACGCCAAATGAACTTTGTTTCACTGGAAAGATAAAGTTTGATAAGTGGCAAAATGAAAGACTTTTCTTCATCCTAAATCTTTTTTTTTTTGTTGTTCATCTTGGACACAAAGTTATGGCTTGAATAATTGTTTGACATCACAATGACTGCAGGCAACTCACTTCTTGGCATTCTGGCTATTGATCTCATCCTGCAGTTCATCTCGTTCTTGTTGGATTTGTCTCTTTGCTCTGTCAGCAGCAGCCAGATCCTACAGAGACAAAAAAAAAAGGAAACGTTTTCCACATGCGTACTCTTCTATAAAGAATCCTATTCTTCTAAACAATTAAATTGACCCTAGCTGCAGCACAATTCTGATCCAACAAGACAAACCTCATGCAGCTGCATGATCTCAGCCTCCATGCTCTTGATCTTGCGCTCGTTTTCTTTGGCCTGGTTAAGAGCCTCATCTCTGGACAAACGCAGATCCTCAAACTCTCTCATCTGATCTTTCATCTGGGCCTGCAATGCAAGAGAGGAAAATGACACGGATACCATGGTTACTGCATTATTTTATTCCACATGCAAAAGTACAGATCCGATTTCTGGTTCCTGAAACCAGAAATGTCCCCACCACTTTAATACAAAAGGGATGCTCATGCAGAACGTGTATGTGAATACCTGTAGTTTCTTGAGCTGTCTGAGGGCCTCATCTCGAGCCTTGTTGGCACTGTCGATCTGAGCAGCCAACTCCGACAGATCCAGCTCAAGCTTCTTGCGCACAGATACGGCCTGAGCCCGCTGTTTCCGCTCATCCTCAAGCTCCATCTCCATCTCACGCACCTGACATATTCAAGCATAATATCAGTAGATGTGTATTCTCGCAGTTTCCCCAACATGCATCAGCATCTCATGGATTAACACCGTTCTGAAGAGGTCAGGCAGGTGAGCACATACCTGTTTGACTAGCTGTTTCCGTTTCTCCTCACCCTGTTCATCTCTGCTCTGAAGGTCTCTCTCAAACTGAGTCTTCATGGCCTGCATGTTGACCTCCAGGCGCAGTTTGGCATCTTCTGTGAGCTGCAGTTCATCCTCCAGCTCTTCCAGCTGAGTCTTCATTTCCAATAACTGCTGTTCCATTCCTCGCTTCGCCCTCTCAAGCTCATGCACCTTAAAAGAAAAGGGCAAAAGATTGCACACAACCAAGATAAGGGGTAAGAAGAAACCATGACTGCCATTTTTAGAATTCAAATTAACAAATGTTTTGGTAAAGACAATATTAGCTTGGTTCCAAAACAGTTAGCATGTTGTAAAGACAATTGCGGTCTAGTTTGGCAGCTTATTAGGTTTTGGAACAGAGCTGTTGTCTTAAAATACATGTTAGACATGTAATGCTTCAGTTTCACATACACTCTTTCCAGCATCATCCTTGGATGACATCAGATCCTCCATCTCGGTTTTGAGCTGCTTATTGACCCGCTCCAGTTCGTCCTTCAAGTCAGTAATGGCCTCCAACTCTCGAGTCAGAGTCAGGGCTCTGGTCTCTTTCTCACGGGCCTCTGCCTCCGCACGATCCCTCTCCTCAGCGTACTTCTGAGAGATGTTCTTCTCCTCCGCCAGCATCTGCACAAATCAAGGTATTTTATCACTTAAAAAGACTGCAAGACTGCGAAAGTGATTAAACTGTAATAAAATAAATAAATAAAAAACACCAGAGAAGTAGCATTCAAAATATCCATATCTTTTCCATTAATAGAAAATACATTTCTGCTCCATTTACAGACAAACTCAGTTCTCTACCTGGTCAAACTTCTTCTGTTTGCGTTCCAGCTCCTGAACGGTCTGACGCAGATGAGCCTGGTCTACCAGGACATCATCTAGCTCTCTCTGTAGACGTGTCTTGGTCTTCTCCAGTTTATCGTACCCAGCATTCTTTTCTTCCAACTGCTGCATGAAGCTTTCCACCTCCCTCTGCAATTTCTTTTTCCCGTCCTCCATGCTTTCCAGGTTCTGGGCCTCTTGCTCAACCTTTTTCTTCATATCTGCCAACTGAGAAGCAAAAACAATAAAAACAGTTCTCAAACACAAACGGCTCCTAGACTAGCATCATCATCCAGGAGAATGTGTCCACAGACTCAATGGCACACACCTGAGCTTGAGCAGTGTGCAGCTGCTTTTCAAAATTTTTCTTGCCCTCCTCTTCCTCCTCCAGCATCTCTTTCATGTTGTTCTGTTCATCCTCCAGTTGCCGAAC